AAGCAACGAAAAAAAAAAAAAAAAAAAAAAAAAAAAAAAAAAAAAAAAAAAAAAAAAAAAAAAAGAAAAGAAAAGAAAAAAATAAATATCCTTGTTCTCCTGGCTATTATCCATGTATCTTATCCAATTCCTTGTTCTGGGCAGAAGAATCTGGAACCCTTTGGGAGGTTCCCATCGAGTTCTGTTATGATTACTGCTGAGTTCAAGTAATCCACCTGTCTCAGCCTGGTTATCCGCTTACTTATTTATGATTAGTTTTGCATATGTTAAGCAAATGCTCCACCAATAACTACATCCACAACTTCCACAAGTCCTTTACAGTTTCCCTTGCGACATCTTGTTCAGTTGCTTACACTGGCCTCTAACCTGTGGTGCTCCTTCCACAGCCTCTGGGGTAGCTGTAACCACAGGCGTTTGCCGCCACACTTCGATCAGTTAAGTTTAATTTCCACTCTGATGTAAAGTTCTGCCATTGAAACAAGGTCTTGCTGTATGACTCAAACTGACCTCAAAATTGTGATCCTCCTGCCTCAGTTTTTCCAGTGCCAGGGTTTCTTTGTGTAGCCCTGGTTGTACTGGAACTCACTCTGTAGACCAGACTGACCTCAAACTCCCAGAGATCCTGCTGTCTCTGCCTCCCGAGCACTGGGATTAAAGACATGTGCCACCACCATCCATTGCCCATCAAGGATTCTCTCCCTCCCCACCCCAATGTTTTTCTTAGTGGTCTTAAGAGAGAACAGTGAGGACTGGAGAGATGGCTCAGTGGTTAAGAGCACTGGCTGCTCTTCCAGAGGTCCTGAGTTCAATTCCCAGCACCCACAGGGTGGCTCATAGTCATTTATGAGATCTGGTGCCCTCTTCTGGCATAGAGGTGTACATACAGATAACTCACCATATACAGGAAATAAGCACTGGTCGCTCTTCCAAAGGTCCTGAGTTCAATTCCCAACAACCACATGGTGGCTCACAACCATCTGTAATGGAGTCTGGTGCCCTCTTCTGGCCTGCAGGCATACACGCAGACAGAATATTGTATATATAATAAATAAATATTTGAAAAAAATAAAATAAAATGCCCCTCCCTTTCCTATTTAAAAAAAAAGAGAGAGAACAGCTTATGGCTGTAGTCACAATAAATGGTTTTCTCTCCGTATTTCCTGTTTGATTTGTTTCTTCTTTCAGGATAGAGGCTTGTGGCAGCTATCTATCTGGAAATCTTCAGTTTTCCATTAACACTTTAAAGGGGTAGGGGGCCCAAAAGAGGCTGGACGCCCTGTGAACGTGGATGTGGGCCTTTACTCACAGAGTCTTCTCACTGGCCTGATTGTGTCTTTCGATTAAGGATGCTTGTAAGTTGTGTCCCATTGATTGGCATGCCTCTTCTCTAGATAGATGCCTATATATAATTAGGAGGTGAATTCAGGGCCAGCCCAGGCAACTTAAAGAGATCTTCCCTGAACATAAAGGTTGGTTGGGGTTAAGACTCGATGCGTGTTCACTTTGGTGTGCTACTCGTGACAGTAACAACAGTATACAACAGAACCACAGCTTCCCCATCTTGTTTGGTTTGTCAGTCAGCTTCCTGCTGCCCTGATAAGTACCTGAGACAAACAGCTCGTAAGAAGGAGTGCATTTATTTTGGCTCATGGTTTTCAAGACTTCAGTCCACAGCTGGCTCAGTTGCTCTGAGCCTATGATGATTACCCACCATGTCAGTGGAGATAAGGAAGGTATAGGAGGCTGCTCACCTCACAGATGCCAGGAAGCAAAACAAGAAAGGGAAGGGGTTATGGTTCTAATATCTCCATCAAGCACGTGCTCCTAATGACCTTATGTTTATATTCTAGGCCCCGCCCACTAAAGGTTCCACTAACCCTTGAGAGCCAGTGGAATGAACCTCTGACCCGTGGACTTCTGGAGGGAGCATTTAAGATTCATGCACATTCTGGCTCCAGATGTCTACTTCATAATGCAAAATGCACTCGTTCATCTCCAAGAGTCCCCAGAGTCTTACTAGTTCCCTTGCTCCAAATTCCCTCCGGTAGTCAGCACTCCCATTTCTGAGACACTGAAAATCAATAGTTACTTACTTCCAAGACACAGCCGCACAGGCCGAACATTCCCATTCCCAACCGCAATAGGAGCCAGAAAGGGAGGATTTGACTAGAATCCTCAGAAACAGAAACTCAGTAGCGCTAACATTAACTCACTGCTCGGTGACTCGTAATGGGGTTCCCCTTGGTGTGACGTGAATTCCCGAGGACTTGGATAGTTGCGCCCTCTGGCTTTGCTGGTAGCAGGCCACACAGCCAGTCTCTGATTCTGCTGCTGCCTCCATCTCCACGTGGCAGCCATTCTTCCTCCACTGCAATTCTGGCCTGGCTCCCAGCTTCATGCTTCACCATCAGGGGCTGCTGAGGGTCACGAAACCCAGTGACAGCGGAGGGCCTCAGCTTTTTCTTTGAAATCTCTACAACCCCTAACTCTAGCATTCTTCAGCAGAACCGGCAGGACGAGGACAAGAGCAAGTGGCAGCTGCACTCGGGGCTGGGGGTAGGGCTAGTGGACTGGGGCCCATGGCAACCTCGACAGTCTCTGAAGGCCGTGATGACTGAATACGGAGGAAAGCCCCAGAGAAACAATTTCCTAGATGACTCAGTGCAGCCAGTGCCCAAGGACCCTTCCTAAAGTCTTCTAAACTGATATACCGTGTTTCCATTGAGCCCATAATGGGAAATCGATTCCAAGTTTGATGGAGGAAGGACATTGATTAATTATAATAAACTGCCTCGGCCCTCATAGGACAGAAAATTAGGTAGGCGGAGTAGACAGAAGAGAATGCTGGGAAAAAGAAGCTGAGTCAGAGAGTCGCCATGATTCTCCCGCTCCAGACAGTCGCAGGTTAAGATCCTCCCTGGTAAGCCAGCTTGTGAGTTACACAGACTATTAGAAATGGGTTAGAACAATATGTAAGAGCTAGCCAATAAGAAGCTGGAACTAGCCGGGCCAGGCAGTGTTTGAAAGAATACAGTTTCTGTGTAATTATTTCGGGGCATAACCTAGCCGTGAGGGAAGCCGGGTGCCGGGGACGCAGTCCTGCCGCTCCTATTTCAACACAAGTTTGTTTTCTACTGTCCTTTTCTAAGCACTTTCTTTGAGACAGGGTCTCACTCTGTAATCTAGGCCAGCCTCAAACTCACACCAAGTCCCAGCCCTCGATTTTTTTTTAACTCTTCCTGAATAGCGCTGTCTAGCATTTGTGCACTCCTTAGTAGTATTTTCCAGCATGCTCTGTCCAAACTACAGGGTTTCCCAGTATTTCTGCTCCAGTGTGTTGTTCTTGATTCTTATTGAAAAAAAAAAAAAAAACCCGCTTCAAAGAGTTGGAAACACCTGTAACATGGTTGCCTTGACTTTTGCCTACATTAGTCTGTTACCTTTACACCTCCACAAAGCTGCAGCGGTGGCCTTTGGTCCGGTTCCTAAGAGTCCTTATCCCCACCTGAAACTCCATAATGATCGTTACACTGCTGGCTGTGTAAACCCTCATCAGGCTCGCTCATGGAGCTCAGCTTCCAGTGTTCTGATCTTGATTGCTTTTCCAAATAGTCCCCGGTTCCTACTGCGTTTGAGCGGTGCAATAAGGAAACCATCAGAATGGGCACACCACGATCAGGGGTATGTTTTTATTGTGGATAAGAGAGGATGGCCAGAGGCATCTGGAAGAGTCCAGAGCAGAGAAACAGACTAGAGGTGGCCAGGGCCAGGAAAGCGGGGTGTGGAAAAATCAGGAGGATGAGGGGAGGGAAGCTGTAGAGAGTTTAGGGTGGAGGAGGTGGTGAGAGGGTCAGGACGGGGTTTGATGTGTGTAACAAGTATGCATGACTAGGGGACTGAGGTTACCTGGGGGCCAGCATGGGCTTTGACATGCAACCTCAGGTATATGTCATGAAGAGCCTGATGTCCCTTCTGCCAGAGGTAAGGGACATGACTTTTTCTCCTCCCCCCAACCTCCTCAGGGAGGGTTTCTCTGTGTATCTCTTGTCCTGGAACTCACAAATATCTGCCTGCCTTTGCTTCCAAGTGCTGGGATTGAAGGCGTGTGCCATCACAGTCCAGCAGAAACTTTTTTTTTTGGCTAAACTTGCTTCACAAATTACTGAGGAACGCTGGCTTTTACCTAACTGCCAGAAACCCTTCTACAGTCCAGCTTGAGCTAAGTCAAGGCTGTCTTCCAAACATGCACTCCCTGTGGAGTTTGGGGAATCAGTTTCCTCTGGCCCTGACACCATCACAAATCAACTCCAGGGCCTGAACAGTCCTTGTTGTCAAGGAGCCACTGTCAACTCAGCCATAGCTTTCTAGATGCCACACGGACAAGTCAGGCCGACATCAAAAATGGACTAAAACATTTGCTGATAAAGAAAACGCTTAGGTTCTCTGCTCTTCCCCATTCCAGACAGCATTTTCTTGTGCAGTCCAGCCTAGTCCCTAACACAGGATGGTGTGGTCGGAGTGACTGGATTTGGCTGTACTGAGCACACCTAGTTATCAGGGCTGCCTTCCACTCGAGGCAAAGTGGATATTGTTGCCATCAATGACCCCTTCATTGACTACAAATACATGGTGTACACGGTCCAGTACAATTCTACCCACGGCAAATCCCCTAGCAGTCCAGTTCAGAATGGGAAGCCTGACATTGATGGGAAGGCCAGCTCCATCTTCCAGCAGTGATGCCACCCCAAATGCCAAGTGTGTTGTGGGGTCTACTGGCTTCTGCACCACCATGGAGAACAAGGCCCACTTGAAGGGTGGAGCTTCAACTGGCACCTCTGCCCCCCCCCCCCGTGTTTGTAATGGGTGTGAACCATAAGTAGGACAAATAGCTGAGTCTCAGCAAAGTCTCTTGCACCACTAACTGCTTAGCTCCCCTCCCCCAGTCCCACAAAGGTCATCTCTAACAATTTTAGCACCAAGAAGGGACTTACGACTACAGTTCGTGCCATCACCACCACCCAGAGTACTGCAGATGGCCTCTCTGGGAAACACAGGGGTGCCTGAAACGTCCTTGCACTCACTGACACTAAGGCTGTGGGCATGGTCATCCCAGACCGAGCTGGGAAACTCATTAGTGTGGCCTTCCGTGTTCCTACCCGTGTCCACTGTGGCTTTGACATGGCACCTGAAGTTGCCAAGCGTGACAAGGTGGTGAAACATGACAAGGGCATCCAGGGTCACGCTGAGGAGCAGGCTGCCTGTCGCACCTTTAACAGCGATGCCCACTTACACGCCTTTTTTTGTTGTTTTGCTTGAGACAGGGTTTCTCTGTGCAGCTCTGGTTGTCCTGGGTCTCCCTTTCTAGATCAGGCTGGCCTCTGACTCAGAGATCCACCTGCCTCTGCCTAACAGTCGTTATGTTGGAGGTACTTAGACCTTGAAGACATCATAGCAGAGAACAGGGGCTGTTTTCTATGATTCCGAGTAGTTTTTCTGAAGTTTTCCATTCATTGCATGACTGGTCACAGCCGTCCTGGAACACCTGGAGCGTCTTGCATGTTGGGCACTGTGAACACTACACAGTAAGGACTGAAGTTGCAGGAGTGTGATGTTTTTCTTTAGAGAACATACAGATCTCAATGGCTTCAGTATGAGGAACGTGTCTTACAATCAATAAGTACACCTCTGAAGGGGCTGGAGGTTCAGTCCATCAGAGGCCGGCTTCCCCTCTGCTGCCAGAGCCTGGATTACTCTGGAGGGACCCTCTTTCCCTGATGGTCAGCGCATCACAGAACACCAGCGGCTGGATTACACTCTGGGGTGACTCCCTGATGGTCAGCACATCACAGAACACCAGTGGCTGGATTACTCTGGAGTGACCTCTTTCCCTGATGGTCAGCGCATCACAGAACACCAGCGGCTGGATTACACTCTGGAGTGACCTCTTTCTCTGATGGTCAGCGCATCACAGAACACCAGTGGCTGGGGCTGCATCACTTCAGCATCATCGTCAAGCTCACTTCCTGGTGTGACATTGACTAAGGCTGTGCATCAGGGTGGTGTGTCTCGTGGCCTACACTGTCTTCAAGGAGGAGTATGAAGCCCTGAACCACACACCACAGCAAGGAGAGAGAGGAAGACAGAGGCCATCGGTTGCTGAGAAGGTCCTGTCCCAACTCATTCCCTAACACCAAGCATGTCCTGTCTCTATCGTAGAACCCCAGAGGGAAGCCCCACACTCACGAGAACCATTAATACAGTTCACTGTACCCACCCACAAAAATGCTTACAACGGTACTTTATTCAACAAAAACACACACTCAAGTGCCCAGTTTCCCGAGCACGTTGGAAGCCTTAAATAAAGCTTCGTTACAAAATTTGAAGCCTTAAAAGAAGGACTTCTGCTACAAAATATGACAAGATCATTCTAAAGTCATGCTCATTTTGAAAACTCAGATTTTTATAGCTAAAAAAATAGCAACTTGTGGCAAACCTTTATTTTGCTAAGACACACACACATGAAGCAACACAACAGCACACACAACCCAGGCTTTAAACACCTAAGCACGACAGTGGCTTTGAGGAAGTCCACAGGCCTCAGGTTTGCAGGGGCCTCTTCTCCTCCCTTTTGCCCACGGTCAGAAGTCTTGGCGGATGTTCTCCTTGTTTGCCTCCCCATGCTGCTGCTTGATTTGATAGATCTCGTTCTCCAGCTGCACGATAGTCCGCTCAATCTCATAGTTCTTACTTACCAGGGATACCCAACTAGGAGAGGGAAAAAAACCAAAAGGAGAAGAAAAAAGGAAAAATGACCTCATGCAAATTTCTTTCAGTTTATCTTAAACATATAGTTTCATCCAGGGCACTAACATTTTTAACTTTCTGTTTAAAAAAAGTGAAGCCCACTTATGGGAAAGCAGCAAAGAGACATAGGATGTCTCTGCATTATTTTTTATTATCATAAATGAATCTACAATTGTCTCATGACAATTTCTCCTTAGGAAATGGCAAAATAGAAAAGAATTAAGACAGAAGAGACAGGAAGGAGTAATGGAAGACTAACAGAAAACAGGGCAGAGTCTCAGAAAATGGAGGACAAGATTCCAGGACTGAGAGAAAACAAACAAAACTCATAGACTAAAGGAGGTCACTGTTTCCTGTTAATAATCTCAAGGCAAATGTAAAAGCACAAGCCTGAAGAAAAATGTGGACTCCCCTCCCTCCATGGCACTAAAGACGGGAAGAGGGACAAGGGATGGTGTGGGTGAGGAAGGGGAACAGAGAAAAACAGAATGACATACAAACATCACTAGGTATAGGGTATTTAATTTCTCTTTTTGGGGTCTCTCTCACTCTGTAGCCAAGGCAGGCCTTAAGCTCAAATCCTTCTTCCTTAATTTCTTACATGTTGAGTAAGGTGCTCATGGCCACACACAACTTAGTTAGGCCTTTCTAAAACTGATACATGTAAGCATATGTAGAAGAATATTTTAAAAATAATATGCATTAGCAGGGATAAACAAATTAAAGCACAAACAAGTTAGGCAAAGTATGGGATTCCCCTTCCTACAAGAATACCAGCCTTAGGTTGGGGGCTGAGACCGCACCACTCAGCAGTAGCTCTGCCCTGTCTGCAGTTCCGGCTACTCTGTATGGCCTTCCTCAGCAACCGGCGGGCACACAAACAGCCTTTCTTTGATTCCCGCAGCACCCACGTGAATCTTACTGTAATCGTAGTTCTTGCTCTTAGAACTAAACAACTTAAGACACGGTGAATTATACACTCACTTTGACTCCATTTCTCTCAATTTAGATCCTGCTGTGAGCTGCATGTTTTTTCGCTGCCAGTTTAAATCTTGAATATGTTTCCTGTAAAAATATTTTATACAACCCAATGACATTATAACATATGATAAAAACCAACAGAACAAAACAATACAGAAAGTATCTTTAAACTCTTCAGGGTTCACACACACAATTATAGACTAATCCGAGAAACTAACTTTCTGTTAATTATTTTTCAGTTACAAATTTCAGAAAATATGCTTATTGTGGGAGAAAACAAAATACCAACTAACTACAAACAAGTATGCAGATTACAAATCCCTCCTTCCACACACTTTCCCTGGCAATGGCTGTGCGAGTTTCAGTGATTATTGCACTTCCAATGTCCCCTGTCTAACATTCACACCACTGAGTGCTAGGGGGTGGAAGCCGGTCCAATTACCGTGCCCAGAGGTGTACTTTACAGAAGTGTTTGGATTTGAGAGGGTTATCAGAACAGAATTCCAAAAACAGAACACTAGTGGCTTTAGAGACTGGAACACACACATGCAGCCACCTTGTCTCTTGTCATGTGATCCCTTGGACCAGGCTGGCATCTGTCCCTAACGAGGTTGTTAACAGATACACTTTTTCAGCCTCAGCTCTCCACAACTGTGAGCCAAAATAAAGACCTTCTCTTTCAGACTTATCTAGGTTCTTTCCTGTATGTGCATGTGTGTGCAGAGTGTGTTACCCTGAATGTCCCAAGGTGTTCTTTCTAAGTTTGCAGATTTATGAGTTGTAGAACACAAACGTGCTTTCAGGTTTCAAGCTTATTCTTACCTCCGCTTAGGTACAGCAAACTCAGTGCCAGATGCTGGCCCCAGTAGATCAGTTAGTACATATTAAATGGCTATTTGTTAAATGATCTACTGTCGAAAACCAAATCAACTTAAAAATATAAATCCAAAATGAAGACAATTTCTTGCACTTGTAATATATCACGGTGTATGTGAAGCTCTATGCTACCCAGCCATTTGGTCCTGCCAATCCACAGTCTACCAGCCCTTTAACCAAAGAGCAGGCTCTCCGGTGCGGCATGTCTGGCTCTTTCTAACTCTTCTTTCCAACTATGAAGGAGCGGCAGCTCTGGTTGGAGGCCAGGCCAATTTCCCAGGCTTCCCTGCCAACTGTTCCACGTGACCCCCTCTGACCAGGTACCCTCAGGTACAAACCCCATTAGACAGCACTGGGGCTACAGCTGTCTTCCACACTTCTGGCTCAATCTATGAACTGTTCAGGGGCTTCCCAACCCACTGCTCATAAAACAGCAAACATCAAGAAAGTCTAACCCAAGTTTCCCTCAAATACACACGACATATAAACTTTGACTTTTGTTACTCCTTGCTAGCTATCTACCATTTAGAATTTATGAATTTCTGTTTCTTAAAGGTAATTATTCTACACACCCTGACAGCAATACACAATTAAAAATTAACTGCTTATCCAAAGTGGATTAGCTATTTACTTTTACAGGACTATATTGTAGTCTTAGTGGTTTTCCTCCCCCGCTCTATCAGGGCTCATCTAAGTCTCACTCAAATATAAAAAACTTACCTTAACTTCTGAAGCTCTTTCTGTGCATGTTCAATCATATGAACGAGGTTTCTAAGGAAGGAAGAGCACATACACTCTGAAATCTGGTAACACCAACGAAAACTGAACTATTTTTATTATTCAAAGTCAGGCTTTTCTGCCTAAAATACTACATCCTGGGATCTCCGTGTCTAGTATGTTAGATAATTCATAAATAAAGCTTGTTTAACGCAACACATCACTGACAGCTTGATTCTGGATACTGATGTTAGTAACAAGTCAGGGTTTCTCTGTGTAGCTCTGACTGTCCTGGAACTCACTCTATAGACCAGGCTGGCCTTGAACTCAGAGGTACACCCGCCTCTGTCTCTTAAGTGCTGATATTAAAGGAGTGTGCCACCACCACCCACTGTGGTTCTTAAATTCTCAGAACTTGTGTTTTGGAGGGGGTGTCCCACTATGCGGATCAGGATGGTCCTGAACTCCTGCACTTGGGGAAACCCTCTTGCCTCAGCCTCTGTTCCAGACTGGCCTCAAACTCTTAAGATCTGCCTGCCTGTCTCCCAAGTTCTGGGATTAAAGGTGTGCACCACTACCATCTGGCTTTTTTTTTTTTTTTTTTTGGCAAGACTTTATTTTTATAGCCCAAGCTGGCTGGGAACTCATGGTGATCCCCCATCTCAGCCTCCTGAGCATTGCTGGACTACAGGTGAGGGACCATCCTGACCAGGACTTTAAAGAACACGACACATAAATATGACTGCATTGTCAATCACCCTCCGAGCTCATTTTCTTATACCGTCAGTGAGCAGGGTTAGTTATGTGAACGAGGCTAGCTTAGCCCTAGGGAACTGAGATAGGACTCCAGCATCTCACTGGTGTAGTTCGACACATCCCCAAGTCAAATCTAGCATAATTGTTGTTGTTATCCTGGAACCAGGGTTTTGCTATATAAGCCTAGGATAACCTCAAACTCAATATATAAATCAGACAAGCCCCGACTTTGTGGTAGCCCCCCACCTCAGCTTTCCAAATGCTGGGAAGTACTTAGAGTGTGTGCAGAGCACACTTATGAAAAGACACTGAAAACTCAGAACCAATGTGTCTTACTCATTGTACACCTTCCAGGCATTACACCCGTGCTGTGACATCAGCTCCAGATTCTCGATTCGAACTGCTTGGTGCTCTAACTGGGCCATGGAATTGTTTACGCACTCTTGCCAGGCTGTGATGTCATTTTTTTGACCTGAGGAAGGGGCTGGAAGTTCATATCTGAAATTATACAACAAATAAATAAGCCAACATATCTTGCCAAGCCTTTAATCACTCCTTCCACTAGACTCCCCATGGATATACACCTGCTACATAAAGAAACCAATTACCGACCCCTACCAACACATGGACAAAAGTGACTGAGGCAGTAAAGAAACCCATTACCCTAGAAACTAATGTACAAATAAAACACAGCTGCATATTGTAACCAAAAGATTTCCATGAATATGAACTAGTTAAATAACCTAAAACGTCTCAGAGACCCTGATGTCTCTCATCCCTGCTTGTCACCATGACCCATCTTGGGTAAAGTTGCTAAAAATATTATATTTGCTAACATTTTGGTTTTAAAAAAGGTGGCAGTCATGTTTACAGCACACACACTATCTTCTACCCTCACTGCCTACTCAGCTGGACTCCTCCCAACCTCAGCCACCTTCCTCACTCACCGTTTCATGCTGAGTAATTCGATTGGTTGTCGGGCAGCCAGTCTTTCAAATTCATTTCTCATTATGTCCGTCTGGTGCACAAACAACAAATAATCAGGGCAGGATCGTGCTGAAGATAATGTCTACTGAGACTCCATACTTTAATTACAATGGATCCTTTTGCTTCTCTCAATTTCTAACCCCCTTCTTTTAAATAAGTTTTTTTGAGACAGGGTTTCTCTATATAACCCTGGCTATCCTGGAACTCACTCTGTAGACCAGGCTGGCCTTGAACTCACAGAGGTCCGCACGTCTCTGCCTCCCTAGTGCTGGGATTAAAGGCGTGCGCCACCACCACTCAGCCTCCTCACCTGTTTTTAAAGAATAGCAATATTTGCACACAAGTATACCACTGCCTACCTGCTAGGTGGTCTGGGACTTGTGCCCTGGCATTCCTTTTTCCTAAATTAGGAGTGGTACCTGAAGAACCCTTGCCAGTCCCCACCACTGAATTCACAGCAGTGCAGATTACAGCCCTTCTGTCGGCACTAGGCATAAGTGCAGGAGTAGCCGTGGACTAACGACTTCCCCAACTATTTACCATCGGTTTTCCTCGCAGTTCACCCAGGATTTCCAACAGGTAGCTCAGACCACCCTCACCCTTCAGGGTCAGATAAGACTCGCTGGCCACTGCAGCACTATAAAATCGGAGAGGTTAGATTTACTAATAGCAGAGAGAGGGGGTCTTTGTCTCTCTCTTGGGGAAGAATGTGGCTTCTATGTTAACCAATCAAGTATAGATGGTAAAGGATAAAATACAACAACTTCAGACAGACCTGAAAAAAACATAAGGAACAGTTTGCTGCCTCTGGCCAGAGTCACTGACAGTGCAGTAAAGATCTGGGTGCCACCCTTCAGAACCCCTCTTCTCCCTCTGTTCTCAATCCTACTGAATCTGCCAAACGTTTCAGGAAGCCCCTGGTGCCTTGGGGTCTGACACAGTGTAAATCCCACATGCTCCAGTTTAAAACAGCAGCTTCGAGATCTGCCTGCCTCTGTTTCTTGAGTGCTGGGATTAAAAGTGTGCAATACATTCTATTCTGTTCAGGATGCACAGACAGCATTTCTATGAAGAGTAGATGCTTCAAAATACAGACACAGGTAAGCACTCTCTGATAGGAGTCCAGTAGTCTAGGGAGCAACAAGAATCCACGTGGTAAGCTGGGCAAGTGGTGCACGCCTTTAATCCCAGTGCTCAGGAGGCAGAGGTTGGTGGATCTGTGTGTTCGAGGCCAGCCTGGTCTACAGAGCTAGTTCCAGGATGGCTAGGACTGTTACACAGGGAAACCCTATGTTGAAACACACATACACACAAAGAAAGAAAAATAATTCATACGTACAATTACAACAAATTAAAAAGTTTTTTTACGACAGGTGCACACCTTTAATCCCAATACGTAGTAGGTAGGGGCAGGCGGATCTCTGTGAGTTTGAGGCCAGCCTGGTTTATAAAGGGAGTTCCAGGACAGCCAGGTTATCACAAAGAAACCATGTGTGCATGTATGTATGTGTATGGTCCAAAAAACCCCAATTACCAGAGTGAAGAGACCTTACAGAATGAAAGTCTTTGCCAGCTATTCATCTCACAGGGGATTAATATCCACAATCTATAGAGACTAGGAAAACCTAAACATCAAAGGACAAGTACCATAGAAAGCAGACAGGCAAATCAGCCAGTTATCAGAAAATGCAAATCAAAACTACATCAAATCTGGGAGTGGTGGTCAAGCCTTTAATCCCAGCAGTTGGAGGTGCAGATAAGAGATTGGCAGTACTTGGTTATCCCAGGGTACCAACTGAGTTCAATGCCACTTTGAGACTGTGTCTAAACACACACACACACAAACACACACACACACTTCTACATCAAGAGCTGGATGTGGTGCCTGTAATTCCAACACCCACAAACCTGAAGCAGAAAGATTTCAAGTTCAAAGCTGCCCTGTCCTGGTGAATTCCAGGAGCTTGAGCTACAGCCTTGAAAACACCCAAGTTAACTGACAGAAGAATAAAAATCAACAGTTATGTAATTCATAGGACTGTTTTCTGAGCTAGGGAAGACAGTCCAATACACCATTAGCAACTAGTAAGACAGGATTAAATTAGCCGGGCGATGGTGGCGCACGCCTTTAATCCCAGCACTCGGGAGGCAGAGGCAGGCGGGGATCTCTGTGAGTGAGTTCGAGACCAGCCTGGTCTACAAGAGCTAGTGCCAGGACAGGCTCCAAAGCCACAGAGAAACCCTGTCTCGAAAAACCAAAAAGACAGGATTAAATTAACCAGAACACTAATTATAAAGGCAGGAATCACGTTGCATTTGAAAAGGGTAGAAAGTTTGTAACTGATATGTGATTAGGAACTAAGTGGCATTTTGGTTGCACCTGTCGCATTTAAAATGGTCTGCAGTTCGACATGTTTGTTCGGGATTCACACACCCGCTAACTATCTGAGTTTTGGTACAAAAATCTCCCTCCAGTGGCTGCAAAGAGTACAAGTAGTTAGGATTATAAATACTAAAATCCCGTGATTCCTACCTGTTTGGAGTGGACCTTAGACAATAAAGGATAAAGGATGCTTTTGTGAAATTTACCAGGGGCTCTACTAAAAATAAAAAAAACCCAAAATATTTTTTAAAACAAGTCTGTAGAGAGAAACCAATAAAGCAGTTCTCGGGTTAATGTAATATGAACCCTGCGGAAAGCTCATCTGGCTATTTTGAACCAACTGATCCCTACATGACATGCAATATGAGCATCAAGCAGCAGTAAACCTGGAAGATGTCTATTTCACACAGCTAAAGCCCTCAATCCGAAATCTAATTCGGCAGGAAGCCTGGTCGGGGCGCGGGGCTCAGGACACCGCACTTACTTCAAAGGCGGAGTAATCCGGGGCTGTCAGGTAGCTCAGGTAGTTCTTGGTCGGCCGGTACCTGCGCGTCTCCTCCTCCACCAGGGCCGCAGCCTAAGAACGAGAAGAGACCTGGGTCGCGGCGGGAAAGGGCAGCGTGCCTCGGGCGGCCCCGCCGCACACACCCCCCCCCCCGCACTCACCGCTTCCCGCACGCCGGGCGCCTCGTAGCCTTGGTCAAAGTACGGCAGCGCATCCACCACCACCTCCCCGGCTACCAAGCCCGTGCCCGCCATTGCGCGGCACTGGGCTCCACGAGCGCCGCCTGAGTCTGCGCAGGCTCAGTTCCGTCCCACGGCGCCTGCGCCCGGAGCTGACGTCATACTCGTCGCTGACTCTTCTGTGCGGGCGCGTGCACATTTGCAAATTCTGTAGCCTCCGGGCCTTTAGGACTGTGTGGTGGGCAAGCTCTCACCCACTGACGTCCCTGCATGCCTGGCACCTTGCCTGTCTTTCCGTGGGTACCGCGTATGTGTGCGTGTGTTTCTGAAGCTCCGACGACAATTTTATTAGAGTTTAAGAGAAAAACAATAGGGCAGGCATGAGGCAAGACATGGGGGAGAGGGAGAGAAAGCCAAGTCTTCCGAGTTGGGCATGGAGGTTTAGCAGTGCAGGAGAGACTAGCAGCCGCACAGCAGAAGAGAGAGGGATTTAAGGGCGAGAAAGCAAGAAACGTTCGGGGCGTGGGGTCTTCACAAGAGGCGGTCGCTGGACTTGACTAAAAGAGAGAAACATATTTTCCATACCATTTAATTCCCTTCTAAACTGACGTAATATTGAGCTTCTAGCATTCTTTGCTTTATCCTCATTTCGCAGGCCCTTTAGGGAATGTTCTTTTATAGACACTAAAAATGGGAGCCTGTTTCCAATGAAAATGAGTCTTCAGATCTAACCACCTTCTTTAAGAAGCTGGGGTGCGATTCAGTGGTAGGGCCCCATTTCAATCCCCAGCGCTGCAAACGCCTCTTCCCTTCCAGGACTGGAATTACATCTACAGGATGCCTCGTTTAAAAAGCTGTCATGTTTTTTGTCTTTAGGGCTATGTAAAACCCAATCATTTGCCTTTAGAATTTGTGGTAATAATGATTCTCTTTGGCTCCCAAGCCCTCGGCTATAGCTGGCAGACATCTCCCAGACGAAAAGGTAATGCAAAAAAATGATGTGGGACTATATGTCCTGCCTACTGTGCATTCAACCAAGGCTCGTTTGTTAGGGGCTTTGGGAAAGTTGCTCTCAGCTATAAGCCTGGTTAGGCTAAGGTGGATATAGGATGTAAATGTGCGGCCTATAGATTTAAGTGAAAGCGCTTCACAACTCTCCTAGGCTTAGGTGTGTGAACACTCGGTCCCCAGTTGGTGGCGCTGTTGCGGTGGTTTAGAAGGCGCCTCCTGGCTGAGGCCAGTCAGTCCCTAGGGGTGGAAGAGTTTAAAGCCTCACACTGCTTTTGCACTGTGCTTCCAAGTCGCTGTTTGAAGACGCGAGCTCCCCTCCCCTGCCTCCATACCTTTGGCTTGGCGCCATGCTTCCTCACCACGATGGGCTCTTCTCCTGCGGACCTGTCAGCCAAACAAGCTTTCTTCCAGTTGCTTGTTTTATCACTGCAGCAGGAACGTAACTAATACACATCCTAAGTGGATTTATTTTAAATTCTCTAGGAGATCGGTGGGACTTTTAAAATGTCTTTATTCATTAAAAGATCTGTAAACATTTGATAGAAATCTTGAACAATTCTTTTTACAAACATGTCCAATATTCACAACACTTTACAAAAACAACACACGACAAACTCAAGGAAAGGAAGCAGCTTTAGATTATAAGAAGTAAGATTCTTCTCCCCAAGGCACAGCCAAGATCAACCACAGCAAACCCTCCTATTCCCATCTCAAACAACCAATGGCTCCTTCAGAACCGGAGTGTGAGAAGAGGCACCAACATTTAAAGACACAGGCCCAGTTCTTTCCCTGGACCCATACTTAGGAACCATACTGCATGGCACCAGCCTGCCTGCATTCATTCAGACACGCATGGATGGGTAGTCGTGACAGGACTGGACAGTCAGTCCTAGCCCAGCACAATGTACAGCACTTTAGTCTGAGTGAATCTTTTCCATTCTAGGGAACGCCATTAGCAAAGCCCAAGGAAAACAACTGACATTTGCCACAACAATGATCATCTATCAATGAAAATCACGCCTTCATTGACAAACTCCTTTTTCCCAGGCACTAGTCACACTTTAGATTTTCAGCATCTGGATGATGAAGAGGTATAGGCTTAGGAAATACTGAGTCTAATTAGAACAAAAACTTACAACAACGTAAGAATAATCAATGGGGCACAGCACACAGCAAGCCCTGGGTTCTATTCCCAGCACCAAAGACAGACAAAGAAGTGTCTCATGAAGACACCCAGAGCTTGAAGTCCCAACAAAGCTTAGAGGCTGCTCTGGGATACTCCATGGAGAATGTTAAACATTGCTATAACACTAAAGAGCCCCAGCTTCCATCTGTAGGACTCACTAGCTTTCTCTGTGTTTGTAAGTCAAGTGTTTTTGCTTAGCTCTGTCTGAAGCGCATAACTGGCCAAATCACTTAACTTTTCGGAACTCCAGTTTCTTGCAAAATATCACGAAGCTGATGGAAGACTTGAATAAAATGACATATGGAAATGTACCACAGTGCAGAAAATTGTGAACACCAGAAGCCAACAAACAGGTAGCTTACGTCCTCGAAGGGACATCTTCACATTGGCTCTATTCCACACAGTGTAAGAACGCTGACAGGCGAGAGGCGAGCTACTCTGCAGGACCCATGGTGATGAGGACCAGCATGGTGTCTGCCTTTTTAAGGTACTAACATGAGTGAAATTCTCTAAGATAGGCCATGGGACAAAAGGGGGTTATCAACGATGGGAACACTGGAATCTGAAAGTCCAAGCAGCCCCTGGTTAAAGCAGTTCGATGCTCTCCTGAGAAGAACCGTGTAAGGTGTACCCAATGCTCTCCCTTTCGACCAAGTCTCTCTTGCGCCTGGAACTCAGCATTTTTCTCTTAGTCTCATCTCTGCATTGTTCTCAAAAATGCAACACCAAGTATTTCCAAGTGTTTTTCTTGTACGAAACGACTGCTTTCATAGACTAAGCACAAAATGAGCTTCTTGTAGCCACCAATAACCAAAGAGAAACACCACAGTAAAAATAATTTGGCTAGGCATGGTGATACTTGCCTTTAATCCCAGCACTTGGGAGTCATAGAAAGGCAGATCTCTGTGAGTTTGAGGCCAGTCTGGTCTACAGAGTGAGTTCCAGGACACCCAGGGCTACATAGAGACCCTGTCTCAGAAAACAAAACCAACCAACCAACTAACCAACTAACCAACCAACCGACCGACCAACCAACCAACCAACCAACCAACCAACCAACCAACCAACCAACCAACCAAATGAAAAGTCCCCAAGTTAGAAGCAGAAGAGAGCGCACTGGCTCTCAGGTTGGTCTGCAGCCTTTCTCCTTCCACAATCTCAAGGACTCTGCAGGACTCTTCAGTGCGTCCAGACCCCTGGAGACATGCTGTCTTTGGCACTTTCCATTGTGTTTAGAATGAAGACACATTCACTTCTTGTGGAGAAATCTCATTTTGCTTCCTGGAAGGAGGAGAAGAGCGTGAGTACCTCATTTGATCTTCACCCGTTGTACATCTGAGGCAAGAGACTAACAAGCTGGCCACTCAGAACCACTCACGAGCTCAGTGGCCTTGTCAAGCACTGTGGTGGGGAGAAGTGTCCCCCAAATCCTACATGTAAAAGCTTGGAAATGGAACCTGAAGGAGGTGCGACCCAGAGGGGGGACGGCTGGTCATGAGTGTGCCCTTGCAGGTACTCAGCCCTTTCCCATCACTGCTTTCTAGCAGCCATGACACAAACAGCTTCTTCTACCTTCTTCTACCCACGTCTCGCCATAATGTATTACCATGCCACAGGCCCAAAAGCATCAGGGTCAATCAGCTATGGGCTGAAACTCCCCTAACCAGGACCCAAATAAGCCTCCAGAGGCCAAGGCCTCGTTCTTAACCACCTTCTGTTTCTGTTGTACTAATGGAGAGCTTTCAGCTGATGTGTTTAGCCACTAAAAAACCCGTGAGTGTCTAATTGCAGAGGGGGAAAAGAACTCAAGACATAATCTAATATAAGTGGTTTTCAGCTCGAACTGTAGTTTCAAATTACCTGGCCTGCTCTCTGGAGATTTCTCAGAGCTCAAGGGAAACTTTTTTAAAAGTCCCTAAAGATAATCATCTGATCGAATCTAGCCCCAAGGCACAGATGAAATCATAACCTGCGGCATTTGCCTGTGGTCCCTCAGCTAGTTAGGGACAGGGTCTAACCAGAGGCACACATGCCGAAGCTCGAAGCTGGGGAGTGTAATACCATTGTTTGGATGGACACACCGCTGTTCTCATGTCGTACTGGAATTTAAACATCATAAGGAAATGCAAAATCAGAGTGAGGCATTCTCTCTGCTTCCCAGTCCCCCAGATCAGGTATTTTATAAATCAGGGGTCGATGGACACCTTAAATTATATGTAAAATATATCTGTAAAAATTTTTCTATTTAGGACCACTTTTAAAAAGCATGCCCAAAGGATGTAACCTAGAAAAGCTTCGTGATCATGAACTGGAAAGTTTTACCATAAGGTTAGTTAGAGGCTTCACTAGGGGAGACAGCCCAGGCCCACCCTGCTGGGGAATCCCCAGCATCTGAGGTGACCGGCTTTCTGAAACATTAGGACCCAGGGTCACAGTGTCCAGTCAGTCAGCTAGAGGTTGCATTGCCGATTGAATGTGAGTTTTCGGGATGAGGTTTATTTACTGCAAAGGTCTTGTACAGTCGTTTATCTAAGAGGAGAACAAAGCAACTCACCAAGACTCCGCAAAATTCTATTCACCCCACTGGGTTCCGACTCAGGAATTGTTTCCAAATACTGGAGAGCCCGGACTTCAAATAAACCTATGAAGAAGACATAGTGGTGAGACTGTCCAACACTCCATCCTGAAAACCAATTAAATAAAACCTTTCTTTTCTTTTGCTTTTTGGCAGTGCTGTGGGCAGACTCTGGCCTTTGCACACGCTAGGCATGTTCTACTCCTGAGCTATACCCCTTTTTACTTGTTTATTTACTTAATTTGTGTACATTTATGCCTTCATGTATGTGTATGGAATTGGCATATGCATATCACAGCACACATGTAGAGGTCAGAGGTCAGGGAGTGGTGTCTGTTCTCTTCTTCCAACACATTGAGCCAGGGATGGAACTCAGGTTGCCTTTACCAGATGACCCATGTCCCTAGCCCTAATCTTGTTCTTACTACAATGATGTACCAGTGTAGTTAAACAGTATTACAGATAATTCCTGTAGTAACTCAGATGTGCCCTTGTAAGTCTACACATATTCTTTTTTTAAGATTTATTTTTTTATTATGTATACAACATTCTCCCTCCATGTATGCCCAGACCTCATTACAGATGGTTGTGAGCCACCATGTGATTGCTGGGAATTGAACTCAGGACCACTGGAAGAGCAGTAGGTGCTCTTAACCTCTGAGTCATCTCTCCGGCCCTTGTCTATTAGTCAATCCTTCTAAGTGTTCACCAACTAAGAAGATACTGGTTTATGGTAGAACCCACCTTTAACTCCGCTTTGCCGAAGCTCCCGGTCCTGGACAAATCCCGCAAACATCTGTGTCTCCATGAAGAGATCTAGAAAGTGGCGAACACTCCGAGAAGTGTGGGACTTTCGGAAAGGCTCCCTCAGGAAAACACGCTCCCCGCGCTCTGTGACAGTCATATTCAGAGAATAATGTCCTACGAGCTCCACAAAAAACCTCACAAACGCTTCAGACACCAGAGAATTGAGTGTCACATCTGTTTGAAAAGGAAAGAAATAAAGAAAAGTTTGTTTTGTGAACTGACAGTAGTTATGGAAGCCATGTCTAAAGAGCCATGGACACCGAGGATAAACGTAGGAGTGTGCATTTCTAGCTTGCTGCACAGCAAATGGCTGCTGTCTTGACCTGTGCTTTCCTCCCGAGGTACTCTTACTGTGCCTCGCAGCCTGGCTTCCACACCTATGGTTTCAGGACTCATGCAAACGCAGCCTGTTTTCCTACTTGTCCGCTCCTCTCCCTTCTGTGCTGCCTCTGAGCCCTCTGTCCTCCCCTCGCCTCCTGATTCCTGTCTTGCCTGTGTCACCGACAATTTGATTTTCTCTTGCCTTCCCCCTCCCCTGAGTGTGGTCCCCGGACCACTTCTCTTCACCAGTCTACGCCTTCAAAAGCTGATTGGCAGCCAGATCTGGTGGCTCACATCTGTAATCCTTGCACTTGGGAGATGCAGTCAGGAGGGTCAGAAGTTCAAGACCATCCTTATAGCTATACACTATGGAGCTATACAGTGAGCTTTGAGGCCAGTTTGGGCTGCATGAGATCCTGCCTCAAACAGCAGCAGCAGCAGCAGCCAACAAACAAAGCCAGCTGGCACAGAGACAGAGTTGGCTATGCAATTCCAATCGTCATCTCCAGAGCAGTATTTCACCCTTTCCGCTCTCAGGCTGTCTATGGAGGTCATTATTCGGCTGTCTCATTATTCACTGCCTAGTTTATAAAGTGCAAAAATTCCATTTGTCTAGAGGTTACCATATCCAGATCCTTTACAAAACTCGGTAGGCTATCAGCCAATTAAAATAAGATATATCAGAACACACACGCACTATATTCTTCTACAAATCACTTGCCGCTTCAGCTTTCTCACCTTCTACTGCACTATGATTTAATTCTAATAAAAACAATCTATTGAGTATTAAGTGCATGTCAGGCACTACACCAAGCACTCTTACAAAGACAACAAATAATCAGACATGCTTCCATTGCTCTCTGTCTGCCTGTCCGTCCATCCATCCATTTCGACTCCAGCACACACACCTCTCACTTTAGGATCTTTTACGTAGGCTGGTCTCAAACTTAGGTTCTCTTACTACCTCCTGGTGCTGAGACTACAAGAATGAACTACTGTGCCTGGAGAAATAATACTTGAGTTTTTTTTTTTTTTTAAAGACGCAGTCTCTCCGGGCTGGCCTGGAACTCACTATGTAGACCACCTCAGAATGCTGGAATTAAAGGCCCATGTTACACACCCTGCCTCAAACCAGCGCTTTACGGCCCCTTTAGGTCTCTTCGTTCCATCATGTTCCCACCAGGAAACAGCTTTGGTTTCCCTTCTAAAATGTTGATGATGACACTGCTTTTCGTTGCTTTGGTTTTTGAGACAGATTCTCATTATGTAGTCTTTGCTGGCCTGGCACTGTGTAGACCAGGTTGGCCTTGAACTCATAAGAATCCAAAGGCTCTGCCTTCTAAGTGCCAAGAATAAAGGCAAGTGTCACCATGACCACTGACACCTACTTTATATAGAGTCATGGGAAGGGAAGGGGGAAAGCCAGAAAATACTGGTAAGAAGGGGACATTTTTTTTTAAAGACAGGATGAAGAACTTAACTCAAAGAGACAGACCTATGGGGAGAAAGCAGTCTACAAATGTTACTTTCCAGTGGTCCTGTGGCGGAAGCGGGCAGATGGGATCAGTAAGGAAGGGCGTAAGAGTCTCGAGATGTGCTTCTCTGGCAGGCCCGCGAGGGCTCCTCTGGCACGCCTGCGAGCCAGCACCGGATCTGCAGAGTGTGCAGTGCCTTCACCTCCCACCCTCCGCCCCAGTCTCACACCTTGTGAAAACTGCTGCTCCTGGGCCAAGACTTCATCTCGGTCTTCCAGAATCTGGACCAGGGCAGCTTGAAGTTTAGGCGGCAGGATTTCATCCTCGTCAGATACCTTGGGGGAAGCACACTGTGTGAGTCTTCGGCGAGCACAGACACGCACAGCTAGCAGCCCCCAGCCCACAGGTGGCTCTGTGGAAACTCTGCCTGGACAGTCATTTGAGATTCTGTCACCTACGCAGACTCAGAACACACGATGTTCACAGCGTACCGTAACTTTACCTTTAAATATTACGTGACACCTTATCAAACTCTCATCTACAAGCTTCATTCTTTGTCTCCAACGCCATCCCCAATAAATGGCAGCTCACATGTGAGAAGCCCACTGACCTAGACGAGAAAGAGCTGGTTTCCACCCTTAGTTTACACCCACAGAGTTGCTCTGAGACTCAGCGCTGTCTCCCCTCTCCCCTGAGCAGCCACCAGAAAGGACCATGTCTTCCTGCCCCAGGATGCCTTGTTAGGACTGCTGTAAACCTTCTCTAAAGCACTGCATAAACGCCCACTGCCCTCAGTCTCCGAGACTCTGCCTTGCTCCTCTTTAGATGCCAACTGCCTAACGAGCACCTACTAACAACCCGGGCTAACTGCTCTTCTCTTCCTTCCACGGCGCTGACTTGGACATGGCAGCTTGGGATCAGGTGGGTACTCTTCCACTGAGCTGCATCCTCAGCCCAATACACTTAACTAACCTAGAGGCTTATGTGTCAACCCTTCTGGAGTCAAAGGGATGGTTACTTCTTCTGGGAATAACATTTATGCTGGTTCCTCCTTCCTCCTTTGGGGTGGACACCTATAAGCGCAAGCCAAAGTTTTCAGGCCAATCTTGTATGGCTAGCTACAGTGTCAACTCAGAGATGGGTATGAACCAGAAATCCTTTCTGAGTCATTTCTCTAAGCACTTTCGCCTCTTTTCTGTCTAATTGCCTACAGAGACACCTATCCTCCCAAGCATTGTGTAAGCATCTCCTTTGTCACTCACCTCCTGCAGGAACTTGTCCGCACAGAGATCAACGATCAGCACCTGAGAAATAAAGGAGACGGGCAGGTTCAACCAGAGACATCCACAGACACACCAGGCGCTGCTGCACCGGGATGGGCGCTTCGATTCTTTCAGGCCATGGGAATAGTTTCCAACAAAATCAACTCAAAGTCGCAGTCAATTTAAAGGTTACTCCAAGAAAACAACAAATGAGTTGGAAAAAGAAAAAGATATGCACAATTATATACATAGCTCGCCCGGTCCATGTGGCGGAGCAGTGGGGAAATAGTCTTTCAACGAGCGATACTGAAGAAGTGGGCAGCTCTCGACACCATACTGTTTGCAAACAAATGCAGTTCTAGGTGGAGTCAGAAAAAAGTCAAGCACAGTGAGATAGCAGGAGGAAGTCTTCCTCTTCATTAAACTAATGTGGAAATGTGAGCGGCTCATGAAAATGCCAGTCACAAAAGAGAAGATTGGCTTCTCAAGCACATCACAATGAGCAACTCTCCTGCATTAAAAAGTGTCATTTTAGGCTGGGTGTGGTGATACAAGATACAATACTAGCAGTCTGGAGGCTGTGACTGGATGGTTGCCAAGCCCTAGCCCAGCCTGGAGGCGGAGTGAGACCCTGTATCAAACAAACATGTGACCTTCACCCTGAAACCCAACAACACCCACTCCCCCCAGAAAACCAGTTCAGAACATGGTTTTGGAAAACGAAAGGCCAAGCTTCAGGGATGGTGATGTAGCCAAGTTGGCACTGGACAATCAGGTGTGCTGTCATAGGACTGGGGAACAGCAGGTGGACAGCGACAAGTTCAAACTCATCCAGGGCTGCGAAGTGAGTCTGAGGCCAGTCTGCGCTTCCTGAGAGCCTCTCCCTCCAAAAAAAGACCCCCCTCCAAAAAAAAAAAAAATAGAACTAATTAAAAAAAAAGAGGCTTTTGGGTTGGGCTGTAGTTCAGGGTTAGAGCATTCATCTAAGTAGGCACCTGGATAGAATATGATTTATAATAGATGATATCCAATGGCCAATAAACACACCTCAAAAGCAACCAGGAACCACAAACTCAACTACCTTGAGATACACACAGCTCCACAGCCATCTGTCTCGGCGGCTAAACCACACGAGCCGACGATGGCGCTGGTGCCGTGCAGGGCAGCAGCTGTTTCTCAGCGCTGCTGGGAGAAGCCGAAACTAGCGTTCCCTGAAGAAGCTGGATTTGATTTTCTGAAGTGGAAGGTGTGCTCTTCCCTGCACTCAGAACTCGATCTGGAAGCGTATACTCCCAGAACTCCAGCTGCAGGGATCGAGTTTGATGGATAAAAATATTCACAGCAGGATTACTGATAAAAACCTCAAGTTGGAGACAGCAAGGTAGAGGCAGGCGGAACTCTGAGTTCAAGGCCAGTCTGGTCTACAGAGCAAGTTCCAGGACAGCCAGGGTTACAGAGAGAAACCCTGTCTCAAAAAATAAAATAAAAGAAAACCTCCTTTTTATACATAGATGGGTCCACCACTCACTACTGCAAAGAGAGCATTAGATGCAAACGTACCATGGAATTGCTTCCACTTTCAGAAAGATACAGAATATGACAGTGCAATAAATGATCAATTATTATATTCTTAAATCGTTTAGATTTATTTATTTTTATTTCATGTGTATGAGTGTTTTGCTCGCACATTTGTCTGTATCATGTGCACCCCGGAACTGGAGCTATGGGGAGTCGTGAATCACCGAGAGGGAACTGAGAATCGAACTGATCTTTTGTAAGAACAAAAGGTCTTAACCCCTAAGCCATTTCTGAAGCCTACATGATAACATTATATTAATAACAATTCTACCCCTCTTAAAAGACCATTTGGTTTCCTTCCCCAGTGCTCTAGTATTGCCCAAAGGTACAATGTATTCCCTCTTACCTCTTCAATGGGAAGGTCCTGGAGGTGGGGTAAGGAACAAGACAAGATTCCAATAAGAAATGGCGTAGGGGAGCACACTATGTCAATCATGGACGCTGGTAACACAGGGATGTACGTGTGCTGCCAGGTGAATGGGTACAGCGTAGCTACCACAGCGTGGCCACACTTTGACAGGGTGCTGGACAGAGTAAAAAGCACACGGAACCAAATATTACGCTAAAGAATTACACAGTGATCTCACTGGTCTTCACAGATCAACAACCCTGTGAATATGTATTAAATTCTAGCAGATTCATCTTAATCTGCTAAGATTACCACAATATATCATGCTGAAAAACAAACAAACAAAACCCAATGTTTGCCAGGTTATAGTGGTTCAAGCCTTTAATCCCAGCACTCAAAAGGCAGAGGCAGGCAGACCTCTGTGAGGCCAGCCTGGTCTACAGAGTAAGTTCCAAGACAGCCAAGGCAACACAGAGAAACCTTGTCTCAAAAAACCAAAAACCACTATATACATAATAAATAAATTTTAAATAAATAAAAAGGGCTGGAGAGATGGCTCAGAGGTTAGGAGAACTGACTGCTGTTCCGGAGGTCCTGAGTTCAATTCCCAGCAGCCACATGATGGCTCACACCCATCTATAATGAGATCTGGTGCCCAGAACACTATATACATAATAAATAAATTAAAAAACAACAACAACAAAACCAAAAGAAACAATGTTCACACAGAAAGGCAATATTGACATTTTTAGATGTGGGGATCTCACTATGTTGCCCAGGCTGTCCTTGAACTCCTGAGCTCAAGTGATTCTTCTGCCTTAGGCCTCCTGAGTAGATGGGACCCAAGTGTGATCCATTCAGCCCTGTAAGCTATACCAATTGTTTTTTTAAATTTCTTTTTGTTTTGTTGGTTAGTTGTTTGTTTGTTTGTTTGTTTGGAGACAGGGTCTCTGCAGCTGTGGATGGCTCTGCCTCCTGAGCACTGGGATTAAAGGTGTATATCACGACAATCTTGGTAATCTTACATACAAGTCTTTACAACTTCTGTCTGCTCCATCTGGATGCTGGGGACTGAACCTGGGTTTTTTGTAAGAGTAACAAGTGCTCTAATTACTGAGCCAGCTCTTGGGCTCCAGTTCTAGATATTTTAAATAGAGTACCATTGTAAAAGACAAAACAAAACAAAAACACAAGCTAAACACCACCATGAAGTAACCTTTTCCACTTATTTCTTACCTTAGGCTGTTGGCAACAAAGATTACCCTCCGCTCTAAAAGGAGAGAGGCACAGACCCGGATGAGATGACACACACTCAAGCACTTGAAGAGACACTCAAAATCCACATGTTCCAGTCGTGAATCGAGTGGTCGGCAGAGTTCAACAGACTGAAACACAAGAGAAAGTCAGAGAGCTGATGTTGGACAAGGCCCTCATATCAGCAGTAACAGAACTTCTTGCTCCTTCGAGTCTGAAAAAGATCTGCTACTTGGGTCAAGTGTAGTGGTCCTAGTACTCAGGAAATAGAAGCAGGTGCATCTCCATGGGTTCAAGGCCAGCCTGGCATACACAGAGATCCAGACCAGCCAGAACAACATAGTGATACCCTGTCTTGGAGGTGGGGGGGGTGCCCGCTACAAGGAGTTTATGAAGTCTGCAAAGTTCGGGTAAAATCACTCCATTTGATAAATACACACACACACACACACACACACACACACACACACACACACCCCTGTCATTTATCACGTTGAGACTGCTACTACAGAGGGACCCAGTCTATGCCAGGTAGGAAACCCAGGGCCGAGGATCAACTACCTCACATATTCATTCAGTGTTTTTTCACATTTTCAAGGAAATAAAACATATTACCTTGAAAAGGCAAAAGTATTCCTCCCCACATATGGGTTTCTGAAAACTGTACCTTGCTGTGGGATATTTGTACACTGTGTGAAGATACATTGCCGTGATTGGTTTAATGAAGAGCTACATGGCCAATAGCTAGACAGGAGGTAGGCGGGACTTCCGAGCAGAGAGAGTGGAAGTAGATGAACTGAGGTGTGCAAAGGAGCCAAGAGACACAAAGAGGAAATAGGAGGTGCAAGATGGAAGAGAGACAACACCACTTGATAGAATGGATTCATTTAAGTTTTAAGAGCTAGTTAAGAACAAGTCTAAACTATAGGCTGAGTTTCATAATTAATGGTCTCTGTGTCATTATTTGTGAGCTGGTGTCTGGAAGAAAAACCTGTGTACAGTCCCCAAGTAGTACAAGGCTTGCTTGCTGAACCTCAGTGAGATGAATTAACTTACCCCATCTCCAGCCCCAGGGAGGTAGCTTTTAACTGTGATGGTGCGCCCGGGAGCTGGGAACGGGGCTTCCATGACACTTCGCATGAACGGGTAAACAAGGGCTGGAGACATTTCTCTTCTCTTTTCTACTTCATCCAGGATCTGAACGGGGACGTGAAAACAAACAAACAAATCCCATGGTAATTTATTAAGGCTGCAGTTCAGAAACATAAAGAAATCCTACCATCAATAAATAACAGCTGTAGATTCAAGACCAACAAGCTGTGCAACTGACAAGAGCTCAGAGCACACCAGAGGCTGTCTTTACACCCAGAAGTTACGGGAGTCAACTTATGTTTAGAAACTACTTTTAAAAAAACAAAAAACAGGCCTGGAGAGATGGCTCAGAGGTTAAGAGCACTGGCTGTTCTTCCAGAGGTCCTGAGTTCAATTCCCAGCAACCATATGGTGGCTCATAGCCATCTGTAACTCATTGAGGTTGTTTCTTCTGGCCTGCTGACAGAATACTGTATACAAAATAAATAAATTAAAAAAAAAAACAAATTTTCTTCTGTGTGTGTGTGTGTGTGTGTGTGTGTGTAGGTGTGGGCATGCCATGGCTCAAGTGTGAAAGTCAGAAAACCCGTGGGAGCTGTCCGTTCTCTACTTCCACTATGTGGGTCCTGGGGGTTGAACTCTGGTTTTCAGACTTTACCAGTGCCACCTTTTTCAGTGCCTTTACCACTGTGCCATCTCACTAACCCCTGAAGACCATTTTCATTTCACAAAAGGGTAAAATACACACACACACAGACACACACAAACACACAAACCCACTGACAATGATATCCTGCAAGTTGTGTCTTGAAAAAAGCAAGAGGCAAGATGTTTCAGATATGTTCTTTTAAAACTGCTGAATTTGGGGGCTGGAGAGCTGACTCGGTGGTTAAGAGCACTTATTACTTATAGAAGCCTGGGTTCAATTCCCAGCACCTACATTGCAGCTCACAACCAGTTGTAACTACACTACCAGGGGATCTGATGCCTTCTTCTGGCCCTCATGGGTAGCAGGCATACATGTTGTACACAGACACATATGCATGCTAAACACCATACACACAAAATAAACATAAATAAATCTTTAAAAGGAAAAACTCAAACCTGGGAATTTTAGCAAACCAAAACCATCACAGAGCATCGGTGGCAACTTGATCGGGGGTCTATGTTTAAGCCCTCAAGCCTATGGGTTGTTAATACAGCATCAATGACAACCTGATCAGGGGTCTATGTTTAAGTATTCAAGCCTATGGGTTGTTTTTTTTTTTTTTTTCATTTTTAAATTCATTGGGGAGATGACTGTGTTCCAGAGACCATGAACCAGACCAATGACTCATTGCAATGAACATTTTGCGGGTGGGCTGACTGGACAAAAGGGTCTACTATCCGTCACACCATAGCTCCCAATACCACTAGAATGAATGAACAGGCGCTGGAAAGAGAGGAGGTAAGTTTTTTTTTTTTGGTTGTTTGTTTTGCTTTTAATTAATTTTTGGGAGGAGGTCCTTTTGGGGGTTTGCTGCAGGGTGAGGGTGGACATGGAAGGACCAGGAGATAAGCAGGATTGAGGTATATGATGTGAAATTCCCTAAGAATCAATAAAAACGGGGAGGGCACGCAACTGTCACAGCACAGATACGCCGGTCAGGAGGACAACGTGTGGGGTCCACTTCTCTCCGTCTACCATGTGGGTGTCAAGAATCACATTCAGGTCATCAGCCTGGATGGAGCGTGCCTTTACCTGCTGAGAGTCTGAGTTTGCGGTTCTTAACCTACTTGTGGGGTTGTTTTCTCAAAAAGTATGTTCAAGCCTATGCCACTCAGTATTCTCCAGTGAAATCACCAGCAAACAACAATCACCTTGGCCCTAGAAGGTCCCCCCCAGCAGCGACAGTCACCTCGGCCCTAGAACGTCCCCCCCAGTAGTGACAGTCACATCAGCCCTAGAAGATCCCCCCAGTAGTGACAGCCACCTCAGCCCTAGAAGTTCCCCCCAGCAGTGACAGTCACCTCAGCACTAGAAGGTCCCCCAGAACCCACACTCACTCACCTTTGAGAAAAGATTGAAGCAGCCTAAGCGACTGACCATGCAGTACACCTCAGGGAGCCGCTTTCCTTTGCCTTCTGGCTGGAAAAACAAACCAAGAAGAGCAAGGATTTACTCGTTTTAACTATTTATTTAACAGGTCCCTCCTATGTGGCAGATGCTCGCCCCAAACTTCTAGGCTCAAGCGTGTACTTTAGACACCAAGGTTGACGGACTACAGGTGTGCACAGGCTTCTCCCAGTGTCGTTGAGTCAGAGCAGGAGTGAGGCTTTCCTCCTCAGGGAGCACATAATGGTGGGGAGTACTAAGGATGAAGGCATGTTTTACTCAGGCTTCTTGCCTAAACAAGAGGGACACCTCAAGCAGATGGTGACAAGCTGGCTTCTTCCACCTGTGTCAGGGGTTCCTTTCTCTACTGCACAGAAACAACTCAGTGAAACCCACGGCCTTTCTAGTCTGACTATCACCTCGTTCTTGCTATGCAAACTAACACGGCTTCTTTTTAAAAGACTTTATTTTTGTTTTATGTGTATAGGTGTTTTGCCTGTATGTATGTTTGTGCACCACATGTGTGCAGTGCCCATGAAGTATCTGAAGAGGGCATCAGATCCCTTGGAACTGGAACCAGAGACAGCTGTAAGTCACATTTCCTGTGGATGCTGGGAGTCAAACATGGGTCCTCTGGAAGACCAAGCAGTGTTCTTAATCACTGAGCTGTGCCGGGCTGATGCAGCTTCTTGGATGTGTACATAATTAAGTAGCCCTTAAAGCCATGTAAGAATAGTGCTTCTCAAGTTCCTAGTTGGCCTTTCTTGTTCCTTAATGACCCTGGCACTAATCTGTCACTCACCAAAAGCTTCTTACAGTAACCAAACCACCGACTTCCATCCTCACCAGTCAATACGAAGGAGAATGTTTCACTGAAAACAAAAGAACATAAAAAACAGCTGCTCAAGACATTACTCAGAGAACAAGAGGAGTCACTTTGCGATCTAAGAGGAAGTAGAACTATTTATTCATTTATTTCACGTCACATTCCCACAGAGTACCCAGGCCTTGTCCTGGAGTGAGTGGATATGATGTAAGCTGTGGTATTGCTGTCTCCTTTCGTTGGACATCTAATTTAGCCAAACACACAGGCAATCAAGCCAGAAAGGATGTTGGCAATATCATTTCTTCCTTGCAAATTCTTGTGTTTAGTTCTAAGAGGCCATATCGAACAGTGATAGAAGAAAGACTACATAGCCAGGCGGTGGTGGCGCACGCCTTTAATCCCAGCACTGGGGAGGCAGAGGCAGGCGGATCTCTGAGTTCGAGGCCAGCCTGGTCTACAAGAGCTAATTCCAGGTCAGGCACCAAAGCTACATAGAAACCTTGTCTCGAAAAACCAAAAAGAGAAGGAGAAGAAGAAGGAGAAGGAGAAGGAGAAGGAGAAGGAGAAGGAGAAGGAGAAGGAGAAGAAGAAAGACTACACCCTGGGCTGCGGCCTGGACACAGTCCAACAGGTCTGAACAGAGCTGGGTGCAATAGCATGCATCTGCAATTTTAGCATTCCTACTGTGAGATGGCAGGCAGAGACAGGAGGACCCCAGGAGTTCTAGGGCCGGCTAGCTTGATGTAAACCACAGACAATAAGAGAGAGATCCTGTCTTCCAAAAAGACAGAGGCAAGAACTGAGCCATGTTGTCCTTTAATGTCCTCACGTGAACACGAACACACATGCCAGTTCTCTTCCTCATACATACAGAGATAAGAAAAAAACTTAATACCCTTCTCGTTGTTGTTGTTGTTGGAGACAGGGTTTCTCTGTGTAGCCCTGGCTGTCCTGGAACTCACTCTGTAGACCAGACTCACCACCATTGCCCAGCTAGACTATATCCTGAACATATACAAATCAATAGGAAAAATATTAATTCCCCATTGTAATAGGGGCCAAAAATGAACATCATAACTGTGTGGTGGCGCACGCCCTTAAACCCAGCACTTGGGAGGCAGAGGCAGGCGGATCTCTGTGAGTTCGAGGCCAGCCTGGTCTACAGAGTGAGTTCTGGGACAGCCAAGCCTACACAGAGAAACCCTATCTCAACAAAACAAAAATCAATCAAACAACAACAACAAAAACCAAAATAAAAGATCACTTACAAAATACCCAAAGAGGATCCCCAAAGAAACTCACTTAATAACCAAAGAACCTCAAATATAAACAATGAATCAGTATTTGGATGTATCTGTATTCTCCACGTATGAGTGTTCTGCTTGCATACATATCTGTGCAGCACTATGTCGCGCACCCATGGAGACTGAAAGGAGCTTTAGATCCCGAGACTGGAGTGTTAGCTGTTGTGAGCTGCTATACCGGTGCTGGAGTCAAACCAGTGCTGTGGAAGAGCAGCCAGTGCTCTTTACCCCTAGGCCATCCATGCAGCACTGAAGAATCTGCATTCAAATACGGCCGGAAGTCAACGGGAAGGAGTATCTACAGTGCTGACTCTGAGCAGCCACACCGCCTCTGCTTTTTATTTACTCTTCTGTATTTCCTAAGTATTCTAGAACATATGCAATGCCGAAGGAAGAAGTCAACCATGGAGCAGGCCAAAAGAAGAGACTGTACCCAGAGCTAGCAGTGCAAGTGCAGGCACAGGACACTGATGTTGACAGCTGATGCTAAGAGATCTCAACTGGTTATGGGAGGGAGCGGTTAGGTCGAGGGTGAGGTGGACCATAGGACAACAGCTGAGACTATCATCTAATAGGTCATCAACATATGATGTGGTTCAGCTACACAAGCTTTTTTCACCTAAAAGGCATAACTAATAATTACAATTTAGTTTTCTGTGCTTTTTTTTATGTGTATAGATGTTTTGCCCCAATGAGTGTCTGCACCCCACATCTACACAGTGCCCGGAGAAGCCAGAAGAGGCCTAGAGTTACAGCTGGTTGTTACAGCTGAGTGTGGGTGCTGAGAATCCAACCTGTGTCCTCTGGAAGGGTAGCCAGTGCTCTTAACCACTGAGCAATCTTTTCTGCCCCTTGTCTGTCTGTTTTTCACAAACATTCACCATTTCCCAGCCTGGCCTTCAACTCTTGGGCCAAGTGAAACTCCTGTCTTAGGACCCCTGAGTAACTAAGAGCACAGACTTTTTTTTAATATACCCAGATTAGGTGTGAATAACGAAGATACCTAATTTACAAAAGCAGGATTTGAGGCAAGCTTGGTGGTGCACACCTCTAATCCCAGTGTTCAGGAGGCATAAGCCAGTGGATCTCTGAGTTTGAAGCCACCCTGGTCTTTATATCAAGTTCTGAGACACGCAGGGATACATTTTCAGTCTCAAAAAACAAAAGCAAACAAAAAGCAAAAAACAAACAAACAACAAAACCCAAAAAACAAAAGCAGGATTTGGAAGTGATAATGCTTTTAGAAGCTAAAATTGGTATTTTCCTCTAGATACCTTAATTCCTTTTTAAAGATTTGTTTTTATTATTTTTAAGTGTGTGTGCACACACGCATATGTGCACAGATAGAGAGAGAGAGAGAGAGAGAGAGAGAGAGAGAGAGAGAGAGAGAGAGAGAGAGAGAGAGAGAACGTATGCCCATGGAGAACTGAGGTGCGGGATCCTTCAGGAGCTGGGATTACAGGCAGCTGTGAGGCACCAGACCATAGGTTCTGGGAACTACACTCAGGTCCTCTGCAAGAGTAGCACTTGCTCTTCACTACTGAGCCATCCCTCTAGCCCCACGACACTCTCTAACGCTTCAGGTACCCACAGTTATCAAGCTGGAGTCTCCCTCTGTACAAGGCCCACAAGGGAGCACAGAATCCAGGCTGGGGCTTCTTCTATCAACTTGGAGGAGAAATAAGACGACGACAATTGTTCTGTTTTGTTTCTAGGTTTAACCCCCGAGGTACAAGTGTAGTCATCGTTGTCTCGTTCCCGCTCCCTGTCTGCTTTGGGCCATTTTGCTCTGCAGAACTCGTAAACTAAGGAGATGTACAAACTTGTGTTCTCTTTGACACTGAAATATCTGTTTCCTGAGTGCTCATGGGAAACGTTGTAATTCTGCCCCAGCCCACTCAGCCACTGTGGCTCGAGGTGCTCATGTCCACTCATGGAGACCCACTCCTGACTCTACCCATCCACCACAAACTACAATTCTAAACACAGGTCCAGCAGACTGAAATCAGAGAAGCCGATTTACCTCTTCAGTTCTGAGGTGGGCACCCAGTTCTTTGAATCAGGAAAACAAAATTTGGGGATGACTTTGAGCCTCTCTTCCGTGTCTTTGGATTGCTTGTAGCTGTGATCACCCTGAAAACAACAGCACAGAAAGTCAACCTATGAAAACAGGGAAGAGAAGTCAAAACCAAAACCAAACCAAAGCTCAGTCTGCTCTTCCGGAAGCTGGACGGGTCATGAAGGGGTTCCCTCAGTGAGGCTCAGTACTGCTGGACAGTGAGGAAGGAAAAAACGGAGAATCCATGCCTGTGCACTGTGGTCAGACGCTGCGCACAAAGAATCCCATCTGACAGACTGGAAGGGTGAAGCCCTGTGATCCATAGGAAGGGAGGCAGTGCTGAAGGCTGCTCAACCAGAGGAGGATCTAGACTCGGGATTCTCAAACTGGTGGGAGTCCAGTGTTTTATGAATCATGGAATTGAAGATAAATAAAAATCCCTTCTACTATACAGCAAAAACCTAGCCGCTCAAAACATTCTCTGATTAATAATCAAGGATGCTTTAAAAAGGCAGATGAATGTTTTTTAGAAAAGATACTATTTTTAAGTGTTACCCTGTATATAATTATTCCTTTCGCTTTTGCTACCTAATTATAGGCTTGCCGCTTCCTGTAAAATTTTAGCATGGAAGACTCTTACAAAAGTGTGGTGTAAGTCAGGCATGGTGCTGTCCACCTATAACCCCAGTTCTTGGGAGATGGGGGCAGGAAAATTAGAAATTCAAGGTCAACCTTGGTTACATAAGACCCTGCCTCAAAATAACAAAACAAAACAAAAAAAAAGGTATTGTATTTAAAAATGTAGTCTAAGTTTAGTTCAATGAAAAGACATTCAGAAATTGAGTAGGTGGGACTATCTATAAAAACCAGCACAAAAGCATCATTAGTATATTGCTTTTCAGAGAATTCAAAGTTCTCTGTACATTTATTTCTTTTAAAAATACGTGCTAGGGCTGGAAAGATGGCTCAGCCATTAAAGGCTAGGCTAACAACCAAAAAAATAAAAAAAATATGCACCTAAACCACGCCTTTAATCCCAGCACCCAGGAGGCAGAGGCAGGTGGATCTCTGTGAGTTGGAGGCCAGCCTGGCTTACAGTATGTGTTCTAGGACAGCCAGAGCTACAGAGTGAGACCCTATCTGGTAAAACAAAACATCAACAACAACAAAATGCACCTATTCTGTGTCCCTGGGATGTCCCACTCAGCAGGACAGCATCAGGATGGGGAGTTTAGCTCCCAGAGCAGCTGCCTAGAATGCAGGTGGCCTTGATCCCAGCACTGGATGTGAAAAAAAAAAAGCACCTAACACATTTTGTTAGTGTAACATGGTGTGCTCACAATCATCTTCAGGCAAGGGTTCCACACCAATCCAGACAGAGCTCCATAGGACTCACTTCACCCCCTAATTGATGGGTATCCGAGGCACTAACACAGCAAGCAATTTACCTGGGGCATTCTTTTTCATTTGTTTGTTTTACTTTTAACTATGTGTGTGCCTGTGTATCCTGTGAGGGTATGTGAATATGACTGCAGTTGTCTGTGGAGGCCAGAAGAGGGCACTAGACTGCCATCTGACACCGGTGCTGAGAGCTGACCTCTGGTCTCTACAAGAGCAGTAGTTGCTTTTAACCACTGAGCCATATTTCCAGCTCCATTCTTGATTCATCTGCTAGGGTAAATGCGCCCTCCTCTGGTACTATACCTATTAATTCAAGCTTACCTTAGCTGTAAAATTAAATATCTCTCTCTCTCTCTCTCTCTCTCTCTCTCTCTCTCTCTCTCTCTCTCTCTCTCTCTCTCTCTCTCTCTCTCTCGTAGGTCTTCCTAAACTAGACATGGTAGCACATGTCTGTCATCTTAACACTTGTAAGCAGGTCATGAGGTTAGAGCCCACCTGAGCTACCTATCGAGTTGAAGGCTCACCTAGGCTACAGTGTAAGAATGTTTAAAAGTGGGCCAGGCAGTGGTGGCGCACGCCTTTAATCCCAGCACTCCGGAGGCAGGGGGGGGGGGATCTCTGTGAGTTCAAGGCCAGCCTGGTCTACAAGAGGAGTTCCAGGACAGGCTCCAAAGATGACTCAAGGCTCTCTATTTAGAATATGATTAATATGATAAATATGATAATATCATTTCACCACGAATTCTGAAAGCACTCCTAGGTGACATTGAAAATTTTCATGAGAAATTTGATTTAGAAAGTTACTCATTGTTGGAATGTTTCTAAGGTTCTCCTCTTCTCTGCCCCTGGATCTTCTTTGAAACACACTCTTCCTACGTGGCCCAGGCTGGCCTCTACCTCCTAAGTGCTAGGGTTACAGGCATATCCCCACACTAGCTGAGTTGAGGCCATTTAAAATGGGAACACAGGCAGGAAATGTCTCTTAGGTCCCGGGACAGTGGTGCTTCAGTGACTTTGGAGAAGCGTGCAGTTCAAGGTCCACAGTCCTGGAGTGACCTCGTGCTTACGAGGAATAAGAGGTATTACCTGGCCATGGTGGCTCATGGGCACCATGCATGAGGCAGCCTGGGCTACATAGTGAGTTCCAGGCCAGCCTAGGCTACACAACAAAACTTCTTCTCTAAAAACTCAAAGAAGTGATACGGTGCAGGCAACAGAGCAGAGAATGAGTGTTTGCCCCTAAGGGCCCATCGTAGCCATGCTGAATGTGTAATTCAGAGAAAAGGCTCTTCATGTAATAAGTGAGGAAACTCAAGTATAAAATATGTAAATTCAGGGGGCCAGGGAGAAGGCTCAGCAGGTAAAGGTATTTACTGCCAAGCCCGATGACTGGAAACCACATGATAGAGAACTAACTCTCATCTCAAAAGCAAAGGGACATAAAATGTCTTCTCAAACTAGGCAAGCAAACAAGAAACCAACAAAACCAAACAGACAAACAAAGAATACCAAACGTAAATGAATTAAAATGTAAACCCTTTCATGTGTGCCCTGTGAACCTGCAATGGGTTTTATTTGCTATTTAATGTCACGCTGCCCAGAGTTCAAGGGGGTCGAGGGCAGAGCCACAGACAGTGCTTCTGTGAGACAGGCAGGTTGGGCTTGGCGGCTCCCAGCACCTGGAAGCTGAAGCAGGAGGATTGCCCATTCAAGGGGAACTTGGGTAAGAGCCTGTTCAATGTTGGTGAACCTGGCAGCGACAACAGTCACCGTGAGGAGCGAACAGGAACCTTTTGGGCGCGTGCTGGCCACCTACCTTGCTGGGGAACTGTTGTATGACCTGGGGGACGTAGTTTGTCCCTGACGCCTTCTTCTGCAGGGAAACCACCACGAAGAGCTCAAAGAGCTGCTGCTCCTGCAGTTCGATGAGATCCCGCTCCAGGGTCTGGTAGTGGGGGTTCCTCTTGCAGGGCTGCTGCAGCTGTGCCAAGCGCTTGTGACGATCTGCAACGAGGTCACATTTCAGGTTCCCGTGCCCTTCCCTCTAGGCCCACGAGTCACGGTTCTCACAGGGAGAACCCTTTGTGGTCGTGTGCTGGATGAATGTAGCCAAGTACACAAGTACTGCTGCCTGGGCTACAGCATGTGAGAGGGCAGTGCTCAGGGTCCTATTCCACTTCTAGCAAGCACGGGGACGGACATCTGCGTCCTAACTGATGTTCTGCATATTTACAACACACTCTATGCACGTGCTACATGTATTCTTCATGGCAGTGCACCAGGACACAGAATGCCTAGGAAAGAATTCCAGACTGACCGTTTGTTCTGGTACTGTTGTAAAGGCATAGAAGAGGGGAAGATTTAATGGAAGAATGGAGTCCTACACAGAGATTAAGTACAGGCAGGGCAAATCTAAACCAAAGTCAACCTCACATCAAAGAACCCATCGTTTTCCTTCTCCTGGCATGCGTTACTAATAAGAGGTGGCTCGGCAGCTAAGAGCATGTACTGTTCGTCCAGAGGACCTGAGTTTGTTTCCCAACACATCAGATGCCTCATCACTGCCAGTAACTGCAGCTCCAGGGACGCCTGACCCCTCTGGCCTCTGCAGGAACCTGCACTCACACGCACTGACTCCCACGCTGATAACACATAACTAAAAATAATATATTTGAAATAATTTTTAAAAACTAAACATGTAGATCTCTGAACAGAAGATCTAACAATAAAGCCAAGAAGCTACATCCACCTGATTCATAACAAAAGAACTAAAATCCACACTGGGTGGGTGGGTGGTGGGGAGACCAGCCTCTTTAGACGATGCTGGGAAATCAGGATATCCATCACCTAAGAAAGGCCTGAGCTGGACCCCTGTCACTCCATAAAAACCAATTCGAATGGATCAAAGACCTTAATGTAAGACAGAATCTGAACCTGCTGGTGAAGTCACGGGGGAAACGCTTCCAGATACAGACGCAGATGATGGCTTTTGAATAGGACACGGATAGTTAGGAAGTAAGAGCAAGATGGATAAAGGGGACTGCAGGAAATTAAAAAGTGTCTGAGCAGCAAAAGAAAAAGTGAAGAGACAGCCACAGAAGAGAAAAGCTCTGCTGAATTTCACCCGACAGAAGATGAATACCTAGAGCACATAAAAACAACAACAAAATAGATAATAGCTCAATTGTTAAGCAGGCAACAGAGCAAACAGACGCTTTTCAAACCAAGAGATACGTGCGGCCAAAAAGTTCACGTAAGAACACTCTACACCCTTGGCCATCGGAAAAAGGCAAATGGCAACCACATTGAGACTGCCATCCCCTGCCCACACATGATAACAAGTTACACTGTGGATCAAGATGCTAAGAACTCTAAAAACACAACCAGAAATGGTTCTTAGAAATGCCCAGTTTCGCGGATGTGCTGGGGAGGGGTGTGCTGACCCTCCAAAGGGCTGAGTTCAAGTCCAGACTCATGTGGGTCTTGTTCTCATTAGCAACGGCAGTAAATTAGTCACCCTTCCACATCAGTGCTGAACCCCATGACGCTGTCAAGTTTCATCTTTAGTCAGGCTACAGAACCCAAAACCTGGAGCAGTTTAGGTCAGTGGAGAAGCACACGGCTATTACTCATGCCATCAGTGCCAGGGCTGCCCTCCGCTCGGCTTTGATACCTTGTGACTCCTGCTCTTTGTGTTGCTGCGTGTCAGCCAGTTAAACAAGAAATAAAACAAAGCCTGCTGTGACAATCGTGTGATGAGGACTCGGAGCTCATCAGGGGCTTGTACAGGAAAAGCCAGAAACGCACGGCTTCTGAGCCCTGACGTGAACCACGTCCTGCTCTGGACTAGAAGGACCTACATGTAAACTTCATCTCCTTTCTTAACGGCAGAGATAGCAAATGCACTTAATGGTCACACGGGTTACTAGAGAAAAGCCAGCTCTTTGGGGCTAAGTGTTTGTTGTGAGGATGACACACGCTCTTTCGGCTGCTACAAACCGCACGTGTCTAGGCATGCGGAGCTGCCCTGCCCCCTCAGAACCATCCTGGTTTACCTCACTCCTCAGGAGAGGTTTGTCTGCTGTCAAACAGCTGAATGTACTACTTAGCTCCGCAGATCTCGGCAGGGGCTGGGAATGAAGCAATGGCCTACAAAGTGAACTCCACCGGGGGAAAAACACGCTTAATCACAAGGGCAGGCCTTGCTCCACCCGCAGCCAGAAGCCAGGATCACGGACAGAGCAGCCGGCTGACTCACTCTTTGGCAGGTTCTCGGCATCACTCTCGTTCCCACTCGTTTCACCTGGAAGAAAGGAAGAGTGAGAGAGTTTCCGTTTGTATTGTCCACCAGAACGAGAACAGTGGAAAACTGCCACACTCCGGGGCCTCGAGTGAGGGATGGGGGTCAGGTTAGTAAAGGTCAAATTAGCACAGCTGTTGAAAGAGAGGCAAGGCCCAGGAGGTCCCCCTTGTCTGCAGAGGATCCGAAACAGGCAGTATGGAATCTTACGGGGATTTTGTAGTATTGAGTCTGTAAGAGCATTTTTATAAATTAATCACAGCAAAAGATTAATAACTAATGTCAAAATACAGAATTATAATAATATGTAAGTAAAAGTTATGTGAATATGGCTCTCCTGGTACTTTAATATTGTGCCTAGCCTAGTCTGGGGACGACATCGGAACTGCAGCCTGTGTGCTGGAAGGAAGGGGACGATGAAGGCACTATGACCGCACTGGGCTATTACGTATGGGAGGCTTAGACACAAGCTCTGTGACTCAGTGAAGCTCAGCTGAAGGCTGCGTGGCTGCCGACAGGTGTGTGGCACAGTCTAGCGAGCACACAGGACACAGGGCTGATTCACATCCTGGGCAAAGGAGAAGGGCAGATGGCAGCTCCACCATGCTGCTCAGGACAGTGCTGGGCCTCAAGGTTTTCAGACTGTTTCTGGAATTTTCCATTTGATACTTTCACACCTCAGCTGACCACAGAGAGCTGCAGCTACAGAAGGTGTCCCTGGAAGTAGAGGAGGAACTCACCTCTATCTCCTTCCACGCCGCAGAGACTCTTATCCTCAGCGCTGGGATCAGCTGGCTTTCCGGATAATTCTAAGTCTAGTTCAGAATGAGGTCTACTTTTTATTCAAATAACTGCACAGCTTTAAATAAAGTACTAACATTAGGATGAAGAACAAAAGCCTAGATACTGTGAATTTAGAGTATGAGATGTGGCCACTGTGAGAGTCTGGGAAGCGACACACTGCCTTTGCCATGGCTCCACTAAACACTGCACCCACACGGCCTGCTTTCTGGCCCTCCAGTCTCCAGCAACAGCACTGCTTTGAACTGTTCTTATTTTCCCCACGCACATTTTAGGACTTTTGTGGATAGGGGCTATGCTCTTTTCACACAGGAGTGTTAGGTGTGTATGTGTCTGTGTGTCTTTTAAAGGGATTGAATGTAGGGGCTGTGCACCCTGGCTACCAACAGAGTGTTCTGTACCAAATTTTGAAAGTATACCAAAAGTGAAGGTTTCTCAAGAGAGAGAGAAGGGGGGGGGGGAGCTGGTGAGTCTAATCCTATAACCATATGGATAACCAACTCTCAAAAACTGTCCTCTGACCTCTAAATTAACACCATGGCATTTCAACCTCCCCACACAAAACAACAAATAAAATATAATAAATAGGGTTTTTTTTTTTTTAAAGGAACTATCTAGGTCTAAAAAAATTAAAGCCAACTAAAACAAGAGAGAAATCTTTAAATGTATTAGGAAAATCAGAGCCTAACATTCATAGATCACAAATATTTGTGAATTTGACAATGTACCATTTTTAAATGTAGCTGGGCCTGCTGGCCACACCTGTACCCTAGAACTTGGAGGCTGGCACAAGAGAATCAAGTTTAGTAACAGCATCAGCTACACATGGTGAGTCCAGGACAGCCTGAGCTACACGGCCTCCTGCTTAAAAAAACAGAAAGAAAACCCCGAAATTTTCTATCTAATAAAAAACTGAGCAAACTCAAAAACTGAAAAACAAATAGGGAAAATATTTGTAAGTGTACTGAAGACACAAGACCTTTTTTCTTCTTTATTGTGTTTTTTTAATTCAGGGTCTTTCTCTGTAGCCCAGACTAGCATGGAACTTCACTGTGTAGCACAGGCTGGCTACCAACAGAGTGTTGTACTCAGACTTGGAGTAACCCTCCTGCTGCTCTTCAGGCTTCTGAATGCTGGGTTTACGGATTGTACCACCATGCTTAAAACTAAGTTTCTTCCTTATTCTTCTTTTTATCTTTCTTTCTTTCCTTCTTTCTTTCTTTCTTCCTTTCTTTCTTTCTTTTTTAGCAGGATATCTCTGTTCTCTATGTAGAAAAGTTAAAAGCATGCACCACTATGCTTGGATCAAAGCTACATTTCTTAATATTTGACTAGCTATTACAATTCAAATGGAAAAGAACACATGGGCTAGGAAAATAGCTCAGCTCATAAAATTCACACAGCACAAACATGAGGGGAACTGAGTTTGATCCCCAGAATCTACGTTAAAAAGTCAACTACAGTTGGGCAGTGGTAGCTCATGCCTTTAATCCCAGCACTCGGGAGGCAGAGGCAGGCGGATCTCTGTGAGTTTGAGGTCAGCCTGGTCTACAAGAACTAGTTCCAGGACAGCTAGGGCTGTTACACTGAGAAACCCTGTCTCAAAAAAAAAAAAAAAAAAAAAAAAAAAGCAAGAATAAAAAAGGTCAGCTACAGTGGTAAGAGCTCATAACCCCACCCTGGGACTTACTAAACCAGTCAGCACAGCCTACTTGGGGAGGTCTAGGCCAAAAAACAAGATAGACTGGACCATCTGGCTTCCGCATCTATGTGCACAAATGTTCACACGCACAGAAGCATGCACATATGTACACACACATGCTGTGGAATGTCACTAACTAGGCAAAGATGTGCTGCAGAGTACTGCTTTAACTGGGTGAAGGTGTGTTCCATTTGCGTCTGCTGCATTTATTTAATGATGTAAGGATGTTGTTTAATTATGTAAACATGTGTTGCATTTGTTTCACCTTGCCTGCCTAAGGCACCTGATTGTTTTAATAAAAGGTGAACAAGCTATTAGCTAGGCAGAGAAAGGACAGGTGGGGCTGGTGAGCAGAGACAATAGGAGGAAAAATCTAGGCTCAGGAAGAATGAGAGATGAGAAGAGAGAACGAGGAAGATTCCCAGGGCAAGTCAGGCAGCTGCTAACCAGCAGATACGAAGAGCAATAAAAGTAAGATAGAAAGAAAGGGGGGGGGGGAGGAAGGAAGGAAGAAGGGGAAGGAAGGAAGGAGAGAGAGATAGAGAAAGAAAGAAAGAAAGAAAGAAAGAAAGAAAGAAAGAAAGAAAGAGAGAAAGAGGAAGGGAGGGAGGAAAAGAAAGAAAAGTAAAAAGTCTCGAGACAAAAAGTAGATAGAGAGAAACAGGTTAAAAGAGCTAGTCAGAAAAAAGCCCAAGCTAGGCCAAACATTCAAAACTAACACTAGGGGAGGGGGAGGGAAAGGGGAGGCGGCGGTGGGGAAGAGACAGAAATTTTTAATAAATAAATTAATTAATTAAAAAAAAAAAAAACTAACACTAAATCTCCACGTCATGATCTGGGAGCTGGTTGGTAGCCCAAAAGAAAAGAAGGCCTGGTACACACACACACACACACACACACAGAAGAAAAAAAGAGCACAAGGCAGAAAAAAAGGATAAATACTTAGGAAAAGACAACACAAAAAAAAAATATATATATAAATTACTGATAAATATGAAAACTTTCCCAAGTTCATAATGAAAATAAATTAATTAAAAAAATAAATAAGGTAATACATTTTAGGCTGGGCAGTGGTGGTGCATGCTTTTAATCCCAGCACTTGGGAGGCAAAGTCAGGCGGATCTCTGTGAGTTCAAGGCCAGCCTGGTCTACAGAGTGAGTTCCAGGACTGCTAAGGCTACACAGAGAAACCCTGTCTCAAAAAAAAAAAAAAAAGTAAAATACATTTTAACCATTAACAAAAAAATGCTTAATCTACATGATGAGGATTACAGGAAAGTATGTTCAAATGTTGTTTGTAGAAACAGGCTATTACCAGTTGTCTGAAATAATTTGGCAATAGCTATAAAAACATTTAATATTAATTTTTTGAGATGAGGTCTCGCTCTGTAGCTCAGGCTGTTCTGAAACTCACTACTTAACCCAGGGTGGCCTTGAATTCACACAACCCTCTTATCTCAGTCTCTCAAGTTCTAGAATTGTTTTAAGTCCATATAGTCTTTGACCCAGGGAGTCTACTACAAGGAACTTAGTTTGTAAGTACAATACACGAAAATATGTAAAAGGATGAGCACCACAATATTATTTGAATTTGTATATGTGTATATTTTTATAGACGGTTTGTCTCCAGAGGTTAGGTACGTTAGAAACAACCAAAATGTCTACCAACTATATTTTAAAAACTTGAGGTTCTGGAGATAGAATGAGTCTCGCTGATCAGCACACCACCCTCCATGGAGACTTTCATTCCTAGAGCACAAAGTTCAGCAGGGCTTGCCGGGCTCTATGTGTTGAAAGAGCTTTGAGCTACATTAATTGTCTTTTTAAAAGGAAAACACAGAATAAAGTCTGAATAACGTAAACTACTTATACAAGAAAAGTCATTAGGGGCCGGAGAGAAGGCTCAGTGGTTAAGAGCACTTTCTGATCTTTCAAAGGCTCCGAGTTTGATTTGACTCCAAGTACCCATGTCAGGTGACTCACAACCACCTATAACTCCAGCTCCAAGGAACTTACACCCACTTTGGCCTCCTTAGGCACCTGAATATATGTAGCACACATATAATTAAAAATATTTTTTTTGTTTGTTTTTTTTGTTTTTTGAGACAGGGTCTCACTATGCAGACTTGGCTGTCCTGGAACTCACTCTGTAGACCAGGCTGCTTTCAAACTCACAGAGATTCACCTACCCCTGCCTCTAGAGTGCTTGGATTAAAGGTGTGTGTTACGTCACCCAATTTAAAAATAAATCTGTTGAGACTCTGCAGGAGTACGAAAAGCCCTGGGTTGTCCCTCTCTGATTTCAACACAGGAAACTGTAATGACAAAGTTGAAGAAAGGCAGTGTCGTTCTGTAACAACTGAGACTGGAAGTTAAGAAACGCTCGGGTTGAGGAATCGAGAGCAGAGCGGGCGCAGGTAAGCATCCAGGCCCACCAGGCATTGCTGACCTATGGACAAAGCAGAGGAAGGAAACCTGAGCACTGTGCTGAGTCAGCTCCTCAGACAGGATCCAAACCCACTCAGAGTGTTGTATGCAGAAAGTAGTTATCAATTTTAGGCTGTTGTTAATCTGAATGGCAACTATTTTATGCTTTTTTTTTTTTTTTTTGGTTTTTTGAGACAGGGTTTCTCTGTGGTTTTGGAGCCTGTCCTGGAACTAGCTCTTGTAGACCAGGCTGGTCTCGAACTCACAGAGATCCGCCTGCCTCTGCCTCCCGAGTGCTGGGATCAAAGGCATGCGCCATCACCGCCCGGCTTTATGCTTTTTTTTTTATACTTAAAAGTCTTCATCTTGTGTGTGAGTATGTTTGTCTGCTGCAACATCACGGAGTGGTGAAGAATAACTTTTTGTGAACTGTTTCTCCCTTTCCACCTTTTGGTTTTGTTTTTTCGAGACAGGGTCTTGCTGTTTGCCACAGCACTGTAAACCTTGGGAGCGTTGCCCAATTCTGTCTTTCCACCTCCCATCTCGGTGAAGGAACACTGTGATTACAGACGTACATTACTGCATCCTGCTCTGGCCCCTGGGAGGCAGAGGCATCCAGCCTGGTCCAAACTGAGTTCCAGGGCAGCCGGGGCTATGTAGAGATCCTGTCTTTAATAAATACTTAGTCAGTTTCTATCACCCAGCTTTTTCTGTTGGCTCAGGGGTCACACTCAGGCCATCAGGCGTGTGTGGCTAGCACTTTTGCCTGCTCAGACATTTCCCAGGGCCAGGGCAGTACCATGTTTTGCAAGCACTCATTTTGGCCCCAGCATCTTGGCATTTTAAATAATTTGCAGCTTAAAGTTTACTTCCTTATCTATAAATCAATAGTATCTGCCACACAGGATTTAGAAAGTAACAGTAATGCATAGGAACTGGAGAGATGGCTCAGGGGTTAAGAGCACTGGCTGTTCTTCCAGAAGTCCTGGGTTCAAATTCCAGCAACCATATGGTGGCTCACAACCATCTATAATGAGATCCGCTCCTGGTGTGCAGACATACATGCAGACAGAATATTGTATACATAGTAAATAAATAAATCTTTTAAAAAGTGAATAGCAATGTGTTAGAAAGACTCTAACACAATGTGTCTGGTACCAGCTTTCATTTTCTGCACCTCACTCTGAATTATACTAAGGTGAAACCCTCTGAGGTGCCTTTGCTGGAGATAAGGAAACACAGAGGAGGCAGATGTCTAAAATTCAATGTTAACGGGAACATTTGAGAGAGACTGTGAGAGAGGAGAGTAAGAGCTACGGTCATGGCTCTCCTCCTCTGGCTCAGCTTCTACAGCTGTGAGGAAGGACAGTCCCTTACCGATGCGGCATTACAAATGAGATGAAATCTTCAAACAATTATTTTATTCAATAATTATCAGGTGTTATTGATAATAGTCAAAGGCATTTCATTCCCAGAGGAAAATGAAACGTGTCTAAGTATTTCCCTTTGCAAATAGGATAACATGGGCTGCGGCTGGGGCTGGGACTGGGGCTGGCCGGTAGTTAAAGCACTTGTCATACAAGCAAGAGGACAGGAGTTTGGGTCCCCAGAACCCATGTAAACACCAGGTGGTTGTGACAAACCACCGGTGACTCTAGCCTCAGAGTGGAGCCAGGGACATAGAGCCGTGTGTGTGTGTGTGTGTGTGTGTGTGTGTGTGTGTGTGTGTGTGTGTGCGCGTGCGCGTGCCTATACCCCTCGCCTAGTAAGTGAGACTATCTGCATCAGAGAGCTCTGGGTTTGATTAAGAGGTTCTGCCTAAAACGAATAAGGTGGAAGAACGATAGCAGAAAACATCAATCTTGGGCCTTCACTGGAGCGTTCACATGTACACTCACACACACGAGCACACACAGACACGTACACATCACAAAGAGAAGAGGAAAAAGAAAAGAAACTTGGAAAACACATTAAACATGGCAACCAGCTCACTGTGTGTATGCAAGACTGGATCAAGACCGGTTTTCACAGTCAGAACAGAGTCTTTGGGACCCAGATGATCTTATTTTACAACTTAAGTGTTTTACCATTGAGTCGACTTGTAAAGGAAATTAAGATATTTCTCTCTGTGAATTTGTAAAGATAAGAGACAGTGTCCTCTGGCAGGGCTGCTCCCTTAGGAACTTTCTGTCTCTTAGCCTAGCTAAGCGCTCATGAGGTTGTCCTTCCTGTAGATGCAGACTGGAGCTGGACCAGGGCACACAGTGAGGCAGGTGGGAACTCTTCATCTATGCCGCATCCCAGCCCCCTGGGGGGTTGTAAGAAATAGTCCCGCCCCCCCCAGAGCCCGGACTGGCCTGGAACTTCAATCTTCCTGCCTCTGTCTCCCTAGGGCAGGGTTACAAGTGTGCACCACCACACCCAGCCCTTTTCACAGGCGTTTTTATGAAAACACTTATAATTTGTTGTGACTATTCCAATTTTCTTACCTAGGCTACAGTAAGTTTTATCTAGCAATCTGCATGATAAATTACGGGGGTCCAGATATGTGATACAAGTAGGGTACCACATGTCCGGGGCCACGGTGATGAATGTCTGTACCCTGGCAACTGGGAAGTTGAGGCAGGGGGACTCCAAGAGTAAGACTCTATTTCAAAAAAGGACAAACTAGAGAGCAAAGTGGAATTACAAAATTATTACTCAGGGGGCTGGAGAGATGGCTCAGAGGTTAAAAGCATTGCCCGCTCTTCCAAAGGTCCTGAGCTCAATTCCCAGCAACCACATGGCGGCTCACAACCATCTGTAATGGGGTCTGGTGCCCTCTTCTGGCCTGCAGGCATACACACAGACAGAATATTGTATATATAATAAACAAACAAACAAATAAATAAATATTAAAAAAATAATTACTCAGACTTTAAGAAATTTAGTCTCATTGGCTTTCAATTGTTTATTTATTCACACAATATATTTTACTTTGAATTATATCAGAAGGAGTTGGAAGCTGGCCCTTAAAGAGCCAAATGTGAATGAGGTGGCTCATGTCTGTACTCCCACAGGCCGGAAGGCTGACGCAGAAGGCTCATCACAAGTACATGGCCAGTCTGGGATACACAGTGAGTTCCAGGCCAACTGGAACTAGCGAGTGAGCCTGTACAATCAGACACTACGTTACAGAACAATGCTCCCTTCAGATGCTGTTATGGTCTGAACGTAGAATGTCCCTAGAAGCTCGTTTTTTTTTTTTTTTTCTTATTTTTGGTTTTTCGAGACAGGGTTTCTCTGTGGTTTTGGAGCCTGTCCTGGAACTAGCTATTGTAGACCAGGCTGGTCTCGAACTCACAGAGATCCGCCTGCCTCTGCCTCCCAAGTGCTGGGATTAAAGGCGTGCGCCACCACCGCCCGTCGAAGCTCGTGTTTTGAATGCTTGCCCCAGCTGGCACTATTCAGGGCAGCTGTGGAAACTTGAGGAGGGGGGGTCTGATTGGCAGAAGCAGATGTGACACCAGCCCTGGCTTCTTCCTCGCCGTCTCCTAGTCTGCTGCATGCTCCAACCGACATGACAAAGTCCTCTGAAACTGTGGGCCAAACAAATCTCCCCATCCTTAACTTGTGCCTGCAGCTGGTCACAGCAGCAGGAGACTCACACACGAACACTACAAACAGGTGAGCAAACATGGTTCCTACCTTTGGAGGAGGGAGCTTCTTTTCCGGTGTAAGGCTGTAACTTTACCCTCTTCTTCCCTCTCTTAGATTCAAAAGTATCATTTATTTTCAAAACAAGCTGGAAGACAAGAAAATGACAAAGCTGGTATAATTACAAAATTACAAAGATGGTGGCCAAAGCCACCACCACGGTTCTCTGCATGACTGGCATTAATACAGTAAATGGGGTTTTTTTAAATGTAAAATTCTCTTTGAATAATAAAAACCTTAACATTTTTCAATTTTGCACTAAACTGGTATCATTAGATGAAGTGTGTTCTGAGACTGTCTCCAAAGCAGGGAAGGAAACTGCAGGACCCTGTCCTTCCAGAAGAACCCAGAGATTCTGTGTCACTCCGTGTCACAACACGCAGGGAATGTGTACTGCACTCCCTACGGTGATTAAGACTTTGTCAAGTCTTCACTCGCTCAGAGCAGGAAGGGGAAAAGTCACCCACTGCAGGGTGCGGCTTCGTTATTTCTGCTCCCAGGATTTTCTCCCAAGAGGAGACAATCACGCTGATGGAGATTTTGCCAAAAGGAGTACACGCTTTGCCACTGTGGGCGCAACTTATTTTAGAGACTTCATAAAAATGGGAGACTCTCAAATTACTCCACACCAAGCTGCTTTCCTCCAACTGCAATCAGATCGTTTATTTCTAAACCAGTTTATAGCTGTTTCTCTTTGGTAAGCATTACTAAGGATTTTTTCCTAATATTGGGGAAGGCGAGTGTGTGGAAGAGAGTCAGAGAGACATACAGACATTTTAAAGCAAGAAGCTGATTAGCTTTTCCATGCCTAATTTTCTGTTTTCTTAAGATTCCAAGCTTAAGTAATCGTCTTGCGTTATCACACTGCCTAAGTAGACCTGTTAACAGACACTGTGAGACGAGAGTCCAGACTGTTGAGGAGGGCGCTCACGTTCTCATTTGTCTTTGTAGATTTAGCAATCCCGAGGGCGACAAGCCGAATCAACCCACTACAAGCAAAAGCACACAAGAAATACGTGCAGGTCTTCACTCTCTAGACGATATTACTCTCTTTGAAGATTTCTGTAGCTGCCGTTCAAGTGAAAAAAAAAAAACGCCAGTGTTCTTCAGCGTTGCCTTTACAAAAAAGTAAGCAGGAGAATCCGAAAGAGAAAGGTGTTGCTACGGACTACAGAAAAGATTTATGGGAGCAAGCAAGTTTTAGGTGCAGTAACACCTAAGACAGGGTAAATATTAATGTGGACTTACAAAGTAGAATCAAAAGTGTACCCACATATTTGAAGGAAACGACTGTTCTGGGAACATCAGATTAAGTGGCAACCTAAAATTCCGGCTATGCGCTAGGACGAGGAGCCTACACCGACTTTGCTGCGGCGGCAAACACTGCGAGCTACAGAAAGGACAGCAGCTGCTTACTTGCCGGCCACAACACCAAAGCACCAGGGAAGGCACTAGCAACCCCAACCCCACACACAGTCTTCCACAACAGGGAAGGAAGGAAGGGTGGGGACCAGGCCTGTGCAGGAGATCAGAAGGCAATTTCCCTTCCAGGGAAAGCTGCAGTCATCAAAGAGGAAAAATGAAAAGTCCCTGAAGATACTTAAAAAAAAAAAAAAATCTATTGAATCTGGGGCACCCTAAAAGGACTTAAACCTTTTGTTATATTTATTTTTGTTATTTTTAAATGTATGTGTGCAAGCACTTATAGCACTTAGAGGCAGTGCAGCTGCCTGAGGAGCCCAGCGCTGTTAAATCCTCTGCAGAATTACAGGTGGTTGTGAACAGCCTAAGTGGGGGCTGGGACGTGAACTTGGGTCCTCTGAAAATGGCTCCCAGCTGCTGGGCGTCCCTCCAAACCCTCTGGAGAGTCATGGGTAGTGCTAAGGGCTTGTTTCTGCCCAGAAGTACACCACCAGTTTGGGGAACGGTGGCTGACACCGACCTACAATCTCATCAGTTAGCTAAGGAGGCCAAAGCAGCCAGTCTGGGCTACACGGTGAGGGTCTTCAAAACAATGCAAAACAAAGTCAACACCATTTTCTTTTTCTTCACTTCCCAAAAACCTTTGGGGAAAATTCTGTAACACAGATCTGGGGATATAGCCAGGTGGTGGTCTAGAAATCGAGTTCCAGGACAGCCATGGCTACACAGAGAAACCCTGTCATAAAATCACAAAATCCCACCCACAAAAAGTCCAGGGTCATCTTCAGCTACAGACCTGCTTTAAAAACCAGCCTGAGATACACAAGACCTTGTCTCAACTTTTTTTTTTTTTTTTTTTTTTTTTAAAGAAAAGGAAGAGTTGGTCCTGTCATCTGTTATTAGAAAGTGTATCAGACTTGGGGTGCATAAAACAGCCCAAACCTGAAGGGGATGGGAAGGAAGCGGAAGGAGGAAACACCACAGGCTCTCCTCAGCTCTCTCTTGTTTGTTCTTTTGTGAAGCAGAGGACAGAATCCTCACACATGTAGGACAACTGCTTTATTTTTTTTATTTTTTGGATTTTTCGAGACAGGGTTTCTCCGTAGCTTTTTTTGGTTCCTATCCTGGAACTAGCTCTTGTAGACCAGGCTGGCCTCGAACTCACAGAGATCTGCCTGCCTCTGCCTCCCTAGTGCTGGGATTAAAGGCGTGCACCACCACTGCCCGGATCTAGGACAACTGCTTTAACACTGAGCCACAGCCTAGCTCTCCCTTCTCCTGTCTCCGGTAACCCTGTAGTTCCTAGCCCCGCTGCTCAGGCTGGGCTAGCGATCCCAGGCTGCGTCCTTGCTCCATAAACACAACTTTGCTGCTCTGGAATCACATGGGAAGCTTCAGGGTGCCAGAGCCATCTTCCTGAGGAGAGAGCTCCTGCAGGATACCTGCCCAAAGGCAAGGGCAGGAAACACACCAGAAGAATTAAATTAATTCTAGAACACAAGATTTTCCACGGAACCAATCGGCAGCCCCTAACCAAGAAATAGCTGTGACTTTTGTTCAGGTACAAAACGCATGCACTAAATGAATATCTGAGCTAATTCACCTTGCATTACGGAAGGAAAAATATTTCAATGATCCGATTCCTCCATTATGTTTATTGTTTGCTACTGTAGGTGTCAATCCCGAAACCATCTGAATTAAACATAGTTTAAAAATATTCTCATGTAACCTCATAAATGTCTCTCCCAAAAGAAGACATGGCTACAAGTTATCTTTTAAAATACCCTGCTTGTAAATGGTCCCCTCCCTTGAGGGCAAGGTCGTTTATTTCGTATGATTTTGATAATGTCTTGTACCAAGCTATAGTCTGGTTTTCTTTTCCCCACTTCTGAATGGACATTTTAATCCTAATAAATGGCATATACTTCATCATTACTGAAAATCTGTAAACTCTGGCACAAGAAATTGATGGGAATAAACAGACCCCCTTTTGTTTGAGTCTGGCATTTCCTTGAGATAGGCAGCCGATTTTCAACAAGAGCCAGGATAACCGAAGTGAGGCTCTCCAGCTGAAGTTTCTAACCCACTGAGAATGTCAAAAGAGCCATGTGTGCGATTTCTTGAACGAGCAAAACCTCAAAACCCCAGGCTGCTTTCCAGATCTACTGAAAGCAGGGAGAGTCTAGCCTATTCCGCTCGTTGTAACGTTTATCTGTTCTCCTCTACTAAGATGCTGGGGTAAAGTTTCAAGAATGAATGTAGGGAGTCCTCACCCTTGGGAGATTCCTCGCCTTCCTGTTAGCCACTTCTCCAGCTCGGAAAAGCTTCCACTCGGTTAAGGTGACAGGTAAGGTGGTGTCCTTTGTGAGCTTGGACCGCAAGTACGCTTGAGAGTTCTTCAGGTCCATAGTCTTCCGCTGAAGGAACTGGGGCTTGGGAGGAAGCTAAGACAGGAGACACACTGGTAAAATAAGATCGTCTCTGGTAATGCCTGTCTTCATATGCTTATCTTTCTTTTAAAGCCATCCCAAATGGGGATTCTGCAGTTCCTTCTCATCTTGTGAGTCGCTTCTCTGTTTTCTAACCCAAACCTTTACCCCTGTGATCCAATCCACTTCCCAAGGGACAACAGTGCCCCATCTCCACCAACTCAAGAGTCCCGGCGCTTTCAGGAAATGGGTGGGTAACTGAGGCCACAGGCTGAGATGAACTTAACACAGAGCACTGGGACCGACCGAGCACTGAAAAGCTCATGGCCTGTCTGAAGCACAGCTGCTTAAACCGTGGGTTGTTGGCCTGATAATGTAACTGGATGAGGGGAATCATGAAAAAACTCGCAACAGGAAAAGGTTTCTGAGCAGCAGCAACCAACAATTAATTTAAATCCAGGCCACGCAGAATCTGAGGTGGTTTTCGGCAGAGCTCACGAGTGCTGCGTGGCGTGGCGTGACCTCACTGCGGCCTGCTTTCAACACACAGCACATGCCCTCTACACTCACACGCTGTCATGCCATACGCCACCACTACACGCTTGGTTCAGATGTTAGAAACGGCGGTGTTTTCATCTCACACGCTCAGGGTTCTGTCTGTGCAAACATGATGGTTTAATTACAAAAAGTAAAGATTTCATATTTCCCTGCTCTGTGCCTCTGCACGGGTCAAGCTAGCGGATTTTATTGTTAGAATGTTTGATTTTAAAGTTGTTATCTGAGTCGATAATTTGAGTTTAATAAAAGGCATTAAATGAAGCTGGGCAGTGGCGTTGCATGTCTTTAATACCAACACTTGAGAGGTAGAAGTAGGTGGGTCTCGGAGTTTGAGGCCAGCTTGAGCTACAGAGCAAGTTCCAGGACAGTCAGGGCTATACAGAGAAACCTTGTCACCCCATCACAAAAAACAAACGAACAGAAAAAAAAAGAAAGAAAAAGAAAAAATTCATTAAAGGACAGGACTGGAGAAATGCCTCCATGGCTAAGAGTGTCACTGCTCTAAGAGGACCTGAGTTGGGCAACTCTCACAGTCTGGAACTCGGCTCCAGGCAATCAGACCCTGCTGGCATTCAAGGGCACCGGCGTTCATGTGCATATACCCACAGGCAGATGGTGCGCACCCATATACATAATAAAAAAGTAAGCATCATAAAATGAACTTTGGCTTTGGATTAGGTCAGAATTTTCAATTTCCGAAACAGCCATAACTCTGTCATTCTATACTACACATCAAATATGCTGCAAAGATTCAACCCTTTTTGGGGGGCCTAGATAGAGGTAGGGTTGAGATGGAGTCTCCCTGTGTAGCCTTGGCTAGTCTGGAGCTCCCTAAGTAACCCAGGCTGACCTCAAATGCACAGGTATCCACCTACCACACACCCAGCCAGGATTCAATTCTTATGTAAAAATAAACACACCCATCTCATTACTATGCATATTTTTTTGTCTTTAAGAATGGTAAAATTATATGCCATGTATAAAACTGTTGTAAAATAAATCTCTTTATGACTTACTGTCAGCAAAGGTTTCATCTGTACACCGATTACAAACCTATATTATCTGTGATCATGTGAAATCTCCTGGGTGGATGGGTGTGGTGGCCCAGAAGTTTAACCCCAGCACTCTGGAGGACAAGGCAGGAGATTTCTGCAAGTTCACGGCTAGCCTGGTCTACATAGTGAGCTCCAGACCAGCTGGGGTTACATAGTGAGACCCTACCTCAAAATACATTTTTCCTTGGGTCAAAGGGGTTGCCAATAAAGCTTAAGGAGCTCTGATCTAAACTTATTTGTATTAAATTATTTTTGAAACACTAAGATTAACCAACCAATAGCAAAGGCAAAGCAATTTTAAAAAGAAGCTTGCATGCCTGATCTTTAAAACGAAACAAAACACTCCCATCGACAATAAAATCTACACGTCAGAGCCTAGTTATTTGGGCCCCCGGTTAAACCAGCACAACCTTCCACACTGGCACACACAGGGGGCACACACAGGAGTCGGGAGTACTCTGCAGTAAAGCCCCTCTTGTACCTTGGGTGTTCTGAAGGCACTCTTAGCAGGCGGCAGCCTCCATGCTGACGGCGATCTCCACATGGGGAACGGCTGCACTGGAATATCTTCGTAGGGATTTTCCTTGGCTGGATCTTTAAAAACCAGATGAACACTGCTTAGAGGAGCACGGTCAAGTGGGAACAGTGGCTATCGCTAAAGAGCCAAGTGATTTTCTTTACATTTTTGTCGGGGTGGAAGGTTGCTAAGAGCAATGGCATTTTAGGTGTACACATCTCTGCAATGTCCTACCACGCTGAAGAACTGTAAAAACACTGTCTGCAAACATCTACTTCTCAACTGAGCCATCCGTTAAGCTAGCTGTAAAGCTCATTAATGATGAAAAACTTTATATGCTGAATGTGTCTGTATTAGAAAACCAAAGTTAAGTTAAAGCAAGGTATGTTTGATTGTAAAGAAAAGCCCGCCGTACAACGAGGGGCATCACCAGATGCACATAAACGTGACTGCGAAGCACGGACACCTACATATGATATCCTCGTAGATGTTATCCTCAGACTGTGTGTAATAGAGTGCGGAACCAGCGTTTCTCCCGAGTTCTTCATGAATCTTCCGTGAGTTCCGAAAGTGCTGAATGTCTTCAAATTCAAAGGATTTCCTTAAGAAAGGAGACACATTTTAAGGTTACACCTTCAGAAACTGTGATCTCTAAACGATAAGAGAAGACAGAAATGGAAAAGACTTGTGTGTAAAATTACAAAAATGGTCAGGTGATGTGGTGCATGCCTTCAGTCCCAGCAATAAGGAGGCAGAAAGAAGCAGGTGAATCTCTATGAGTTCGAGGCCAGACTGGTCTATACAACTCCAGTACAGCCAAAGTTACACAGAGAAACCTGTCTTGAAGAACCATAACTAACTAAATAAATAAATAGTTTTTACTTTATATGTATGTATTCTGCCTATATACATGTCTGAACAACACTTGTGTGCCTGGTGCCCATAGACGCCAGAACAGGGTGTCAGGTCTCCTGGAACTGGAGTTGCAGACAGTTGTGAGATGCCATGTGGGTGCTGGGAATAAAACCCGGGTTCCCTGGAAGAGCAGTCAGTGCTCTTACCTGCTGAGTCAGCTCTCCAGCCCTAATTACTCCCTAATGAAAAGCGAGGCTGAGACCATCACGTCCTAAATGAAGTCAGTAACCAACCTGCTTATCTAAAAGCTCTTTTGGAGGTTGGGCAAGGGGGGGGGATAGGACATGTCTTGCTATGGAATCCACACTGGTTTCTAAGTCACTATGTAGCTCAGGCTAGCCTCAAAAATATGGTGATCCTCCTGCCTCAGCAGCCTTCCTGATAATGGAAATACAATATGCTCCACCCTACCCAGCCTTCGGAATTCTTGCAGATGGCACTTGGTGCTCCTAGGTGGTCGAATGTGACCTGTAATCTCCACACTTCTGCTGCCCCTCCTACTGCCTCTCATACAATCAGCAACCCTTTGCCCAATGGAAGGCCTGGATTGAGTTGCGGGGGTGGGGTGGGGTGGGGTAGCAGCTCAAGAACCACAGATTACAAATCACGGCCTGGAACGTGAAGGCGTACCTCTTGGATCTCCCTCTGATCTTCCCACCGTATTTCTTTGGCTCGGGATCCTGAGAAGAGGCCAAAGAAGCCTCTGCACAGGAACTCTTCTCACAGTACTTGGGGTCACAGTTTCTTTCTTTATATGGCACACCGCCAGATTCAGACAAATACCTGAATGTCCTACGGGGTTTGGGCAAAGGATTTATAGAGGGGCCGTATTCTTGACCCTCGGGTTCACAATAAATATTTTCCAAGCTCTTGGTTATTCCATAAGAACTATCCAGAACTCTGAAACTCGGTTCTTTTTCTGTAGAGTCACAAGGTGCTAAAGCCAAATTTAAGACTTTCTCCGAGGGAAGCGCTTCTATTCTTTTCCACAGTATCTGTGAGGTATAGAAGTTTCCCGGAGGTAACGAAGCCTCTGGATCCACAGCGACGTCCTTGCGGCTTTCAATCTGCTTGACCCGAGCACACACCCAGTTGGAGTCCGGTCCAGTTTCTGAGGGGTGGGCGTCTTTACACTCTCGCTGCTCGCCTTCACGCTCACTGTGACCGTGGCTTTTGGCATCTGCACCCCTGGGTGGTAAAGCCCCATTCTGACAGTCGCTCCTTCCATCACCAGATGGAGGCTTGTGAGGAGGAAACGCTGCGTGGCAGTTATTATACCTCACTCCAAAGTCCTTCGGGTGAGACCTAGCTGGCTTAGCCACACCGTTAGCCCTTCCTTCCCACTGGGAGATCTTCTGTTTGATGTTTCTGCAGTGGCTTCGGGACAGGGTCTGAAGAGCGGAGCGGGTGAAGCCAGCATCCATGTTCCTGGTGGGGTGCATGACAAGTGACGGATCTCAGAGAGGTGCCATTACACGTAGCTGGAGAATGCTGTATTCCTTATCTTGTCAGAACAGAAGGGGTCCCAGTCATTTCCTCTCATGTTCAACTTGGAGGGATCTTGTTAACAACAACAATTCTCATCACTGATCTTTGTTGAGACAGTTACAGCTGTACCGCGAACGATCCTATTAAAACGAGACAGGAATATGAGCACAGCCTCATGACTTTAAACTCCACTCAACCCTGCCCACCCAGCACTAAACAGTTCATTTACATTGAATTTGTAAGAATAAAAAATGGGCCTGTAATTCAACTCCATAAAGCTAATGCTAAGAAAATATTCCTGATACTATTTCTTCAGCTGTCAGCTTTAATACTCTGCTATATTTAATACTTTGCAAAATACATACATTATTCTGTAATGAGTCAATTCTTTTTTTGTGGTACTAGATGTTATAACTTGAGAAATGGTGAGAGACACCATCATGCAACAGAGGGTTTTTTTTCTTTTCTTTTTTTTCCTTTTTCTTTTATTTACTTACTTACTTAATTATTTATTTATTAAAGATTTCTGCCTCCTCCCCGCCACCGCCTCCCATTTCCCTCCCCCTTCCCCGATCAAGTCCCCCTCCCTGTCAGCCCGAAGAGCAATCAGGGTTCCCTGCCCTGTGGGAAGTCCAAGGACCACCCACCTCCATCCAGGTCTAGTAAGGTGAGCATCCAAACTGCCTAGGCTCCCACAAAGCCAGTATGTGCAGTAGGATCAAAAACCCATTGCCATTGTTCTTGAGTTCTCAGTAGTAACAGAGGGTTTTATTATTGGGGGAAGGGAATGGGAAAGGAGGGATGTGGGGGAGACAGGTATGGGAACAGGGACAGGGATGGAGGCAGACATGAGCACAGAGTACTGGCAAATGCATCCTGCCAGGTGACAGGCCGGCATAGTGCCTGAATACTAACACTAGGGCTTTGTGCACGCTAGGCAAAGCATTCTCACTGAGCAACACACACTGTCAGCTCATAGATCTGTTCTCTATGGAACGCTCTCTTAATGAAACAGGGACCTGTGCAATATTGCAAAAATCACACATAAGGCTGCGTATGGTGGTGCAGGCTTTAATCCCAGCATTCAGGAGGTAGAGGCAGAGGCAGAGGACCTCTGTGGGCTTGAGGCCAGCCTGGTCTACATAGTGAGCTCCAGGACAGCCAGGGCTACATAGTGAGACCCTGTCTCAAAACAAACAAACAAACAAAAAACACACACACACAGAAGCAGAACTGTACCTCGTAATTAAAAAGTGTATTTACACGTCTAGACAGGAACCGACTCGCAAACACATCGGCAGCTAATTTCCTCCTCCTGTCTTCTGTTACTACGTAGTATTAGCCCATCACCCACCCTTACTTCAGCTGAACTGTTAGCCACACAGGATTTCACACAGACTGCTGAAGAGTCACAACCCAAAGGCACCCATTATCTTGTCTCTGGCTGCATTTCCCATGTCTTGGCTGCCAAGCCCTGGACTCAGCTCAGCAGTCACCATTCCCATCCTTCCTTTCCCAGAGGCGGCACCCCCCTCCAGCCCCACAAACCGCTTCCTCAAAAGTGAAGGAAGGCTGGCCGAAACTTTTCCTGCCACTAAGCAGAGACCTGCTCTCAAGTTCCGCTGCACAGTGGTTATAAATAGCATCCATTCAGAACTTCCTGAGGTAGGGTCATCCTTCCTCCTGCTTCATCTGTGTGGCCCTGATTAACAAGCAGGGAACTATCTTAGCCTGGCTCTGCCAGTACAGCTGACCAAACTAGACTGGTGTACACCACCCCTCTGCCCCATTCCCTGTGCCACACACACACACACACACACACACACACACACACACACACACACACACACACTTTATTCTTGCCATAGAAACTGCTCTTCAGAACTTTCACAGCTTCCATTTAAACCATGTCCACGGCTTTCAAAATCACTTTTCCTGCTGTATGTATACTTGGGAGTCCTTGCGGAGTCCCCATACATGCTTATAAGGTACCTGAATCTCCTCCCTCCCTTTACCACTCTCTTATTCGACTCCCCCACCTCCCCTATTTTAGTTTCATGCCCTCTTTTCCCCTCTAGCGTCCACATTAAGGAAGCCATGTGACGTTTGTCTTTGTGTTCATTCTGATTTGTGTGCATTCTTACAAGTTTTAGGAAATTTAGCTTTGCCAGAAAAGAAACTCTGGCCTATTGTCAAAATTAATTTTTTTAATTAAGAAATTAAACACATATGGGTAAGAAAAATCATAAAAAGCTCAGAGAAGTTGTGTGTGCGCGCATGTGTGCATACTGTGTGTATGTGTTTATGTGTGTGTGTGCGTGTGCGTGTATGTGGACTTATGCTTGTTTTCCTCTTTTCCTGAGGCCAAATCTCACTCTGGAGCCCATATTGGCCTCAAACTAGTCACAACCCTCCCATCTCAGCCTGCAGAGCGCTGGCTGACTGCACCCAGCAAGAGCGCCTGACGGAGCTCTGCAGTATGACAGTGCGTCCAGCTGCTGCCGAGCAAGACTCCAAACACCTTTTGCTTACACTGACACTTGTGAGTGTCTTTGACACTAGGGTTTTCTTCATTACGGACAAGATGGATTTGGCTTCTGAAAGGCGCCCTTTGTTAACGAAGCTTTCCCTGACTTTCCCTGGCCCACACGGGTAAAACCGAGGGGGAGAAAGGGAAAACTTTCAGAGCTATGAAAATCACTTAAACCTGAAAATCTAACTGGCAACAAATGGCTCAATCTGCAGACTTCCGCCCAAATATAAATGAAGTATACAATGGTGTTCAGGCGGCAGCAGGCAGCTTAGCTACAGGAGAGAAAGCCTGTTTGTTCTCACCGCATGCTGTCAAAAGGTGAACCATGTTTAGACAGGTTGTAGTGATACACGCCTATAGTCTCAGCACTCAGTCGGAGGCAGGAGGATTGTGAATTTGAGGCCAATCTCTTATGTACAGAAAGAGATCCTGTCTCAAACCCCACAAGTTTTGATGACTTTTAACCTCATTTACAACTGTATAGTAATAAATAATACATTTATGACTGTACGGTAATACAACACCTTTTAACCACATTTGCAACTGTCCAGTAATACAACAATAACACCTTTAGAGCAGATTTCACACTTCGTATATTTCATTTTGCAAACTGAAGGTTCTGTATTTTTCTTTTTGAGGCAGGGTCTCATTGTATAGCCCAGGCTGGCCTAGACTGGGCCTGCAGGTGCAAGCCACATGGTTTCCAAATCAGTTCATTCCTTTGTAAAATGTCTTGCCTAATATGATCTCATTAAAAAAAGAAGGAAAAAAAAAAAGAACAACAACAAAAAAAAACCCCATAACTTGTCAAACAAAACTTACTTCAGAAATCTATCCCCCCCCCCAGTTCCTCTTCCCCATGTCCCATGTCTCCCTTGACCTTCAAACTCCACTCCTGATCCTCCAGCCCTCTGTCCTGACCTCCACCCCATAAATGCCTGTCAGTTTTCAAGGTTTCTACCAACCTTCATCTTTTTAAAAGCTCCCTGAGTGAGGCCACTGTATTCACATTTACCACAGATTGCTTTTGCAAGCTGCTCAGAGAGTTCTTGCAGAAGCACATTTCACAGTTTAGACAAGGTGTCTTCTCTGAAAACCACAAGACCTCTGAAGTCGGGTCAGACTCAAAGGAGAAGGCAGGAACACGACGGTGGGTTCCCGGTGGGCGATCGCAGGGGAGACACAGCCGTAGCCAGCAGGACGTAAGGAGAGCAGAAATACACAGATTCGGCACTCGGTTAAAATATGATACAGAATGCCTGCAGGGGATTCTGAACCAGGCTTCTCTGCCTTTATTTTCTGTTGTTCTCCAGTGTATTTGCGTTCATCAAATAAATACATCAAATGCAGCTATCAGCTGAACACATCACGTGTGTTCACCATATGACAGGAACCAACGTGACTCCAGTCAGGTAGCAAATTCTCTTTGGACAGGACAGTACAGATGCTCAGCTTCCCAAAACCTCACACAGAGCGAGTTTCTTCAGATCCTTTATGACAATAGAATTAAATGGATGAGCTGGGCAGTGGTGGCACATGCCTTTAATCCCAGGGAGGCAGAGGCAGGCGGATCTCTGTGAGTTCTAGGCCAGCCTGGTTTACAAGAGCTAGCGCCAGGACAGGCTCCAAAGCTACAGAGAAACCCTGTCTCGAAAAACTAAAAAAAAAAAAAAAAAAAAAAAAAAAAAAAAAAGAATTAAATGGATGAATTTGCCGTATTAATTTAGGCCTTTCTTCTTTTCTTATTTTTTTTTTTTTGCATGTATACATCCATAAAGTAGAGGCCAGTGGGTGACACCTGGAGTCTTCTCTACTGTTCTCCACTTCAGAATTTACTGAGGCAGGGTTTCTCACTTGAACTTGGGGCTCACTCCATTCAGCTAGTCTACCCGCTCAGCTAGTCTACCCACTCAGCTAGTCTACCCACTCAGCTAGTCTACTCATTCAGTTAGCCTAGCATGGTCACTTGTTCCAGGGACCCTGTCTCCGCTTCCCAAATTCTGGATGCCACACCTGCCTAGCATTTACATGGGCACTGGAGCCATCTTTTAAACTCCAATTTAGACCATCTTAAAAGTTGACTAAGTGATAAAGAGGCAAAATGGACAATTTTATGATATATAAATTTCACCTCCATTAAAAAGAAACTAAGAGCCAGGCAGTGGTGGCGCACGCCTTTAATCCCAGCACTCAGACAGAGGCAGGCGAATCTCTGTGAGCTCGAGGCCAGCCTGGTCTACAGAGTTCCAGGACAGCCAGGGCTGTTACACAGAGAAACCCTGTCTTGAAAAACCTGGAAAAGAGAAAGAAAGAAAGAAAGAAAGAAAGAAAGAAAGAAAGAAAGAAAGAAGAGAGAAAGAAAGAGGAGAGTGAAAGAGAGGAGAGAGAGAGAAGAATCTACTGAAAGCAAGCAGGAAAACTCACCTGCAGCCATAATAGATTGGACCCGCCTTCCTTACACAGTTCCAAACCCATACAGAAGAGGATGAATGCTTTCTGTATTATATATCAGGCACACAGGACTGTGGCCCCTGAAGGAAGCTGGGCCTTGCTTTTTCGCTGGTGACATTCTATTACACAGCACCGAGTGGGGAGCCCCAACAGGGT